CATCAGTATGTGAGGCCATGCTATAGCATGTGGGCTACATGCTGATTCAAACGCTCCCACACAGATGATCAAGGATGGGAAGGAATTCTGTACACATTTCACCTTTAGTGGGATCATATTATATTTTATACTTTTATACAAAAGCCTACGATTATTATTAGTATGACTAATAATAATCATAAGGCCGTAGGTTTGATTCCCACCAGAACAACATATTTTTCATTTCTTATGTATTATTTTGGCTTTGGATATTCGGAAATCCACAGACTGAAACCGAAAAGCGAGGTTTAATCTCTTCTCGGCTTTTTCATCTGTGGACAGTGGTTGGTGAACAGGACGAAGTCCAACATGTTTCAAATTTATAAATTGATTAGAAACATTTAAATAAAACACTTTAACGGTTTAAAACGCGATATATTAGTTAAACTTATTTGAAAATTATTTTTAACTTCGGTCTTTGCCGTGGTCTTCCCGTGACCCCATATATCGCGTTTTAAACCCTTAAAGTGTTTTATTTAAATGTGTACTACTCGCGTAAACTATAGATAGTGTTTGATAGTAATTGATTATTAGCCATACACCTTTATACCAACGAGTCCTACCACTAAGCCGTACGTTAAAACTAGTCAGTCAAGATTATATGCAGATTTCGCGTTACGTAAGCGGCGCATGATCAGAATTACCTAATATTTAGGCGCTGCAACCCGCTTCGCTCTGAATCTTTGATCGTGGCCACTCGAAACGTATAATGGAAACACAAGGTCCATGCAAATGTAGACCTTAAGACCTCCAAGTTACATGCACTGATTTACAATTATTGCCGATAGCGCGCTTGTCGCCAATATTGATATACGTTCTGTTTCGCTGCGTTGCGTTTGCAAATCAAATTGCACTGTTATTTACCCGGCAAATACAATAGCGATTCATTAATTTTAGGGTGAGCTTAAAACCCTCACAATTCAATGACAGCTGCAGGAAAATCCTTGATTGCCAAGCGATAATGAAATTCAAATGATCAGAAGCTTTACATCTTTCCTTCCCGTGACCGCGATGTCGTTGGTAATTCCGTTCATCATTTAGGTACGTGCTCGTCCTAGTAAAGACTACAAGTTTATATACCTAACGAATACCATATAGAATCGAAAGTGAAAAAAGAAGTTCAAAAATTGTGTTTGTTATTGTTATTGAATAGGTTTCAATTTTATAAATCCGCTACTGAGTATTGTCTGTAGTTTACGCGAGTAGTACACGTTTAAATATAATACTTTATAGCGGTCTAAAACGCGAAATGTATTAACATTTTTACTATTTATTTTAAATACAGCCTGATGTTGCGGATGCTTTTCGGCATTAGAATGCAGAAACTCCCAAATTTCAATAGGGAGGGCCCAGCTAGTCTTTATAAAATACGTAATACGTCGAATAAAATGGCGCTAGTTTAGCAGATTTGACTAAGACATTAGGGACACGCTCCATATTCACTCCCCACCACGGCTACCGCAAATACGAAACGTCGGGCCGTTCTTAAAAAAAATTGACTTAGTAGTAAGTAAAATAAAAATAAGTCAACGTATATATTTCGCGTTATTAAACGTCAAAAGTGTTTGATTTAATCTGTTATTTCGTGTATCAGTTTCACTTTCGTATATCTCGAAGAGATTAATTGTTGGTATTTCGTGATCGTGTGTGGCAATGAGCGTGAACAATCCGTAATTCGCAAGGACGGCCTTAACTTATAATTAAGCTTTAATTAATGAAGAGGTACTTCGTGATCCAAGTGATAACCATTAATTCGCTCAAAATATTCGTAGCTCCGTAGTTTCTATGATAAAGAAGATAGACAAGCATGGTGGTCTTGATGGAAGGTGAAATATCCCAGCCATATGAGACTGCTAGAGCTAGAGCGGCCTAATAACAAAAAACATGATTTTCAAAGCTAAGCTAAAGATTATCAAAAAAATGCTAAAACTAATTCAGGCGAAAATGACTTTGTACTCTAGTACATTAACATTTTTAGACTATAAAAATATAAATAAGTCAAGTCATAAAATTGCAGTTAGGCTACTCTATCAACCTGTGTTTGCTTTAAATACTTTATGTCATATACGGCTGTGCCTTAAGTGTTTAAGATGCGACTTTTTTCTTACAAATAAATAGACTGTAAATTCAATTTCATACGAAATTCAACAAAGCTATCTAAAAATGCTGCTGTCGTACTAAAAACAAAACAACGAATACGTTTCGCGTTTTTAAGTCGGTGTTTCGGACAAAGCGTTTTATTTATCTCGTTATACGTCTAGACAAGAAAAATCTTATTGCAAAACATCTCCACTTTTGCTCAAAAAATATAGAATTAAAAGAATAATGTAATAATTGTTATGTAATTTAGTTTCAACTAAGATTTAACAGAAACGACTAGAAAGTAACTTAAATGATATTAATTAAAAACCTATATAGATTAAAAAATAGACTCTGGCAGCACGTTAACCGGCATCACAATAGTTCCGTGCTACTGATGTAACCAATTGATTGCTGCTTTTAACTAATGATTCAAAATATATTAAGAACTAGCTGTGCCAGCGACTTCGTACGCATAGAATGATTATTTCGAATATAAATTTTTGTTTTTGCAAACCCCCTGTTCAACTCTATAAATTTGAGCTGACTCATGACGTCGTCCGCGTCCCGTCGTTCTTGCAAGTTAATCTTAAAAGATATAGTAGTGTGGTGGACTTTTTTTTAGATCATTAAAGGGGAATCATTCTTTCATACATATTTTTTGTGTGTCTTGAACCGTTTTCGCATTGCCATGGAAAACCACAAGGATGAATAACTTTTTCCCGTTTTTGTCACGTTTCCGCCTGTTTCTTCGCTCACATTAGTTACGGCGCGCTGTTTTAAAGCTATAGCCTTCCTCGATAAATGTCCTAACTAACACAAAAATAATTATTCAATTCGAACCAGTAGTTCCTGAGGTTAGCGCGTTCAAACAAACAAGCTCTTCAGCTTTAAATATTAGTATATTTTGCAAGATTGCTTTAACTACTAAAACGAGACTAAAATGCAGTTAATCTAGAATGCAACCAGCTTGCCTTTCACATCTAAGCCACATGGTTGGAATTCTTACGTTGCATGACACTATTGATTTATAAATCCACGTCCTTGCTTTGTGACAGACATTTGATTGTACGACTTTTTAGTCTTTGCCGTATTCAGTAATAACATTGTATGTTTATTACTTGCTATATTAGCTTTATTTCCAAATAACTCACAAAGTATTGTTTGTAGTTTACACTTAACTGTCAACGCGAATGTATTAGTTAACTTGTTTACAATGACAACCACCACCACCACGGCTACCACTAGGCATTTGAAACGTCGCTAGAGCCAGAGTAGCCTAACTGCAATTTTATGACTTGAGTTATTTAAATTTTCACAGTCTAAAAATTTTTATCTACAAGAGCACAGTGACCGGAAATTCTTAACAATAATTCTTACACAAATACTAGTACAAATTAATTTTCACATAAGTTTTTTTTATTTTCCTTCATTATTGAAAATCACGTTTGTTGTTGTAGGCCACTCTGCATCTAGCAGCCTCAATTGTACTAAAGTTAGCCACTTAACTTCGCGTCACAAGTAATAAGAATGCAACCCATGACAAGTTTGTTTTGACAATTTTTTCGCCACTTTTTCTTGTCTACCTGGTCCTCAGCTTCTGGTATAGTATATACTATAAAACAACCATTAAAGCTACACACTTTTAAGTTATTAAGTGATCCCCTTTGGTCCCATCATATTACCTACTACCTAAGCTTTATCCCCTGTATATGACAATCCAATATATGCTCGGATTTCTTTTAAAAATATTAAATCCCTCGCGGCTAAAACGTCGAGAACCATTTGTTAATTACGATGATAGCTTTTCCTTTATTTATGTTTTTATTAAATTGCTAAACGATCGCGTATACATCCGTGATCAGTCAATGTTTACCGCTCAAATGATATTTACATTACACATAATGTGTACATACGTTTAAGTTATTCTATACACACAAAAATTGGGTTTTTACGAAGCTAGATTGAATATTTCTGTAGTAAGCAACTAAGCGCTTAGTTTTTATTGAATGGATAAGTAGAGGCATGTTAGTAATGACAAGAAGCCGTCACTAACGTATTCCATATAAAACCTGTTTCTTGTTATTTTATTGATACTTGTAGATAACCATTTTATGAATGCAGACTTTTGTCAGAAATAACGTAACAGATGGCGCTAGGGTAGCACTTTTGACTGCTGCGGGCCGTAGTTAAAACAAATTAATACTAAGTAGATAATTTACTTCGCGTTTTAAATCGTCAAAATATGTTACGTTAAGATTTTTTTTAACAATACATATATTGTGAACTATAGAATGTTTTTACAATTTGTAAAAAAATTGTCAAGAAATTACCTTCCAATTCAGATTAATATAATAAAAAATGGAAACGTATCAAATGTACAAATAGTTCATAAAATGTACAATCATTAAGTGTGAAATTAACTTAGAAAATATTTCTGCTTGTCTGTATACTAGTAAGAAATCTATCAGCGCGAGGTACATATTATTTAAGAAATACATAGTTTATTAGTAAAATTTATTAAAATGGGTTTTATTACTAAACCACTATCTAATTTTGTTACTTTTTAGGTAGTTACGACGCTAGACAGAGTAAAAATAATAAGAAGTGTTTTTTTTTTTCAATAGTATCTTTGACCTATAGCAGTGTTTCACTGAATTCCAATTCAGCTGCGTATGCAAAACATTCGTATGAAACACGCCCATAGATCGTAAACAATACTAACAATAACAAATGTTTACATTTCTGTTTCTTTGTGGAATGAATCTGGAGTGAAAACTCTGTACGATTGGACGTCAATCCCGGCATTTTACTTGATTATATAAAAAAATGTCGCAATAAACATCCTTCAAATGAGTGCGCGATAACCTGGTGATGTAAATATGGTTGGGGGAGGGAATTTGGTGAGGGATGTGCGGTATAGGAAGACGCCGAGGACGCCCAGATCTGCACATGCCCGGTATTATTATACGAGATCTGTGGTAGATTCGCCCTTGCGAAAAAAGCGGGAAATTTCGAGAGCGAGGTAAATAAATAAGGTTCAATTTTTATCTGTGGTAGTAACTATTTATTGTTTAGTCTTTCTTCCCGCCTTAATTAAATATAGAATAACAAGTCTTTTTTTATGACCACGATAGCTAAGGAAAATAGTAAGTAATAGGTAAGTATAATATGATCTTCCTGTACTTGAAACAGGTCCCGAAAATTATTACAATATAATTTATACTAACGTACCAAACAGCGCAAAATGCGACTCAAATAGTAATTTCCACTTGAATAATACGTGCACAGTGTGATGTTCACCGCAGTCGAATTAACACAAACCTTGACCCTTGGCCCACGCAACACTAGAGGAATCCGGTCTGACATTTTACAGCCTTTGATGCGTCTTGCAATGAGATTGAAGCTACATTCATATTGGAATCATCCGTTTACAAAAGTTACAACAATTTTGCATTATAAAAATAAAATTTCTTTTGTCTGTAAATTTTATAAAATTTGAGATAATTGAAAAACTATTATATTTTTTCTATGTGTGTGTACACTCTTAGATAATACTGCACGGATTACGCGGGTTTTGTTCAGCTCAACTTGGCATAACAAATAGACAATATTTTGTATTGGTTGCTACTGAAAATCCATCAAATCATTACAAATCCAATATATGCTTCCAGCATCCAGTGCTGGTATAAAACAAATAAATCTTATTCAAATGCGTTGAAATTGTTTGTTTGACTACTTTAAGTAAGTACAGATTCAAGTCACACAAGTTGTGTTCAACTAAAACATTCATATTGGGTACAAGGTACATGGAATATCTATATTATTTCTATCTGTCTATGTTATAAAACTATTCTGTAACCATTGTATTTGGACTCTGGTACTATTGTTCGATAGTAAATAGAGCTGCAGGTAATTTTGCTTGACGTTTCAGTGCCATCACTTTTCTTCAAGTACAAAACGAAACTGGATACATACATTGGTTAATTATAATTAGTTATTTACATACTGGTATCTGTAAAAGGTCGCTTGCCTCGTAGACTTTTGAGTGTAAGGACGCTCATTTAGGGCATATAAGAATTTCATTGCGTAAATATATTAGCAGGCCGTTCTGATATTTAGGGCAACGAATTATCTCACGAATCTGCTAAAATAAAAGATACATAGAATAAATTTAGACATAATAACCTTTTTAAGCGCGACTTATGCGTAAGGGATAAATGTTAAAAATTGAATCATAAATTTTGCTTGCCGTTGCTTGCTGTTGTGGGCGTCACTTAACAGTATATTAAATAAAACTATACTCTTAACTAATACCACGACTTAAGGTTTACTGTTTACAGGTCGATATAGCCCTAATGTATTTCTAAACATTTTCAGATGTCAGTCCGCCCCAAAACTCATGGATAGTCACAGTCGATCCGCGTCTCCGCGGGACCCCCCTCGGCCCCAGCATAGGCCCCCATCGCCACCTTCCCCAGCTGGCTTCGACAATAGAGCCTATCAACACGACGAAGACCCCAACCATAACGACTCGTTCGCGTCGAACCAACCACAGAACGGCCACAAGCCAAACGGCGACACGAAAACCCTAGAAGCCGTCAACTTGGAGCTGATAAACTTGACACCAAAGAATGGAGCGAAAAAGAAAGACGTGGAGGTCGATATGAACGCGACGAATCCGTACGATGAATATTTCGTGCCAGTGAACGAACATAGGAAATATATGAGGTAAGATTCAATCTTCAACTAATAGTCAACTAGACATAACTGTAAATACCAAAGATGTTGGTGCCGCTAAATTGGTTTTATGACCGTTAGAATAAGATCGCAGATAACAATGGTTTGTTTTGTAATTATTTGTTGATTAATACGATGTTATTTATATGTTAAATCGTGGGTACAGTGTTTGTAAAATGGTCTAAGACTTAATGCATGCATTTATCAGAGATCTCAACGAAGGTTAAATCTAGGCATTTCTTTATGTGTTATGTGTCAGTATTTGCTGAAGAGTTTTTAGGTTAGGTCGAAGCTTCATTCGAAGGATATTTCAAATGCATTATTTTCTCGAAGTTGTCTTGGATGTTAGAACAGTTTAGGCGTGATAATTGAGTAGTGGCTCTCGAAGTTTCGCCATCACAAGTGGATAGCATCATCAGGTCATGATGAGCATTCTTCGACTAAGCGTAGACTGAATATTTAGTGTTAAAAAAATCAAAATTAAGACATTTACGTAAGCGATATATATAAACCAGCCAATAAGTTCTCTTTTTTTTAACTTTATTTATTCATAAAGTCCCTGAAGACTTCATCATCGTTTATTTATTTTTCGTGTTTAACTCGTACCTTCCGTACTTAGTCCAATTATCACCCAATTAGATCCTTGTTGACTTATATTCTTTGACGAACTCGGGAACCTTATACCGTATATTTTCAAGGTCATAACTTTAAGTAATGTATTTTTAATATGTGTATTATTTTTGCCTTCGGTCTAAGAAGGTATACTAAAAGAGATAGAAGATTTTTTATTTTCTTCTTCAATATGCACCAACTCCGACGGTACAGATGGCGCTAGCGCAGCAGTTTTTACTTTGACGTCAAAGACACCTTTATCTTTAGTCTCTCCGTGATCACGACTGCTGCAAAGCATCGGAAGCGTCATGCCGTAGTAAAAATAATTTTAAGTAAGTTAAAGTGTTTTATCTAAATAATTACAATGTGTCAAATGTATTGTTGCTGAGTTTAATAAGACCGCAGTAATTAAATGACACGATATAACTCAAGTTTAAGATTTTCGCATGTTCATATGCAATTCTATTTTGTGTTCATTAACCACAAAACAGAATTATTCTTATAAGTCCTTGCTCTACTAAAAATGAAAGGTTGTTGCGAAAACTACACATTTCTCTCATTTACTGATTGCAATGAACAACGAAACGATTTCTATACTAATTTAAAAAAGCTGAAGAGTTTGATTTGTTTAAAATTGCTAATGTCGGGAACTGCGTTGGTTAGAGCATTTCTCGAGGAAGTCTAGAGGCTACAAAAATCACGCTGCGGCCAATAGAAGTGATGAAAAAGGGGGGAATGTGGAGAAAACGGGGAAAACTGTTCATCTTCGAGGATTTCCGTTGCGTGCCCCGTTGTGTTCAAGATACCCAAAAATATGTATGATAGAGTGATGCCTCTTTAAATGATATCAAAATATCCGTGACAGTGTGTAATGGTTAAGATTAACTTGCAAGAAGGACGAGTCACGGACGACATAGTGGGAAACAGATATAATGTAAAAAGCTCAGGAAGTTGTGTGAAAAATAAATAAAATGATGGCCTAAATAACTATTTCACGCGAATAAAGCCGCGAGCACACAGCGCTAGTAAGCAGTAGTAAACATATATATGTGTCCAATTGTGGGATATACTGACTATTGACTTAAGAACGACGTTTTGTAAGTTGACCTTGGATAAAATAATAAAATCGCGTACAATCAAAATTCTGTCAACGGCTTGAATTAGGAAATACGCAAGGAGATGTTGATTTTAAATTCTAGTCGCGTTATGAATTCGAATAAATGGTTACACGTGCGATTACCATTGCGCTAAATGCGAGAACCTGGGTTCGAATCCTGGGGAGACAATAGATTGGGACAGCCCAGCAGGATAGAGAAGTCTGATCAACTATTTACCTGTAAATTAAAAAGTGATCAGTGAAACGGACACAAAAATGGGTTCGCCCCATGCCCCAATCGTCATTATGATAAAGAATAACACGCTATAGAGCCCAAGTCTCTCTCATTTAGAAAACAGAATTACGTCTATTTTGAAGCGACATAAGATTTACAATGATCAACTTTATATTACCTGTAAGGGTTCCGTTCCCAAAGGCCGGTCCCAAGAGCTGTAATAGCTAAAAAATCAAAGTCAAAAAAAATAGATAAATTCATAATTATTAAATTTCTACAATAATTTGTATATACATATTATAAGATATGTATATATATAGGATGGAAAATAAAATATTTTTAAATTCTATCGATATATTTTAATTGTTATAAAAAAAAGTTAAATTCAAATAAACTCTACTATTTTTTCTCGGTTTTAATAAAGGTTGACTTCAAAAAAATTAAAAGGGTTACATAATGAAATGTGTGTATATAAAATTAATAATTAACAAAAAAAGACGTTTGTCATCTATTGCACGTCTCATCAATGTTTTGTCCCGAATCCTTTTCGTGTAAACCGTTACGCTGTGTACGTAAGCCGTTTACAAGAAAGCCAATTCTTAAACGAGTGAACGGTAATTTTAAAATAATTGTTCAACAAGCTTTTGTCTCCACAAATCCGGCTGAAAGCCATTAACCGGGTGTCTTACACGTTACTTAAGTGAAAGCCTGACATTTAAGTCTTCAAATACACGTGTTATGGGATTATTGTTAAATTTATTTTATTATATTGTTAAATGCAGATTGCCAGCATAAAATTACCATTTAAATCAAAATTAAATAAATCCAAATTTAATATTATCAAATGCAACGAGTGCACCTAAGCACTTTAATACAATATTTTAACGGTTTCAAACTCGATAACTTATTTCGAATCACCTCACGTTTCGAATGCTTTGCAGACGCCGTAGTCACGCGTCTATAAATATGTAGAATGTCGCTAATGTCAAATTCAAACCTCCTACGCTAGCGCCATCTATTTCGTTGCAGTTAAAAATAACTTAACCAATATATATCGAATTTTACACTGTTAAAAGTGTTTATTATAATGTGTACTACTCGCTTTCAGGACAAACAATATACACATACGTATCAATTTAAAAACAAACGACTATAAATTCACATTGACTGGTTAGTATGAACTATGAACGGCTTCAAGAAGCAAAAAGGACGAGTATCTTTTATCAGTGACCATGCTTATTTCAGTATAATATTCCAATTACATTAGTATGAGTAATGAGGCTGCTAGAGGCAGAGTGGTCTAATAAAAAAACATGAGTTGCAATAGGGAGGAAAATAAAATTGCGCAATTAATTTACGAGAAAATGAATTTAAATATTGTTCGTGTACAAATTGTGTTAACAATTTTCGGTCACTGTGCTCTTGTATATAAACATTAGGCTACTCTGCCTCTAGCGGCCTCATAAATTATTATTTAATGTTTTTCAATGTATATTGACTACAATTTACTAAGATATAATATTTATAAATTTCAATCTGACTAACATTTAGAGCGGACATCTCAAAAAGATAACACTACAGTACAGTAGAAAGCCACTGCATATTCATAGTGAACACAAAAGGTTTCGTTGAAAGAAATTAAAACAATAGAATAATGACCGGTCGGCTGGCAGACCTCAAATTCCTAGGATTTCCATGGAGTTTTCTGTCTTCTGAATTGGTTATATTACTGTCAAGTCCAGCACACGATACATTTATACAAATAGTAGTAGCAGGCAAATAATACTTTACGCTAGTAGTACACATTCAAAATTCACTTTAACGGCTTAAAACGCACATCGGACCGTTCCACCGTAAACATGGCTACTGCAAAGCGTCCGAAACGCCGAACCTTATGTTTGACTGTCCTTCTATAAAAATGATATTTAAACCTCTCCTCCTTTCAATTTAATTTTTCACAAGATTCTATTATATAAAAAAAAGATTTTTTATTTATTTGCGAGGACAGACAATAATACTTTTATTATTGTGCACTGAATAAAAAATATATCAATTTGTTTAAAAAAAGCGTGCTACATATTTAGTACTTTATTGACGATCGCCCGATTGTAATTATCGTAAGACTAAACAAGGTATGGCCACGAGACTCGCGATGCGAAGAAAAGAATGAAAGTATGGTTCCTTCGTATCTTCGTAAGCAACTGATTTCAAGAACTAGTAATAATCCTACCGTTCGCATCTGTCAGTTATGATAACTAACGAACTATCAAAGTGCAATTTCCAACGTAGAACTGAACATATCCAGATATAACCAACACCAATTCGTGTACCTTGTACTATCCGTGTTTTGTGTAAGTCGTGGGACTGTTTTAGATCAGTCTAAATGCGGTTGATTCGATTGAAATGTTTTTGTCACATGGACATAAATTTCAAAATTTAAAAAATTTTAAACAGATGAGACTCGAACATGCGCGAGAGTTGAGCGCATAAAACGATTTTCTTGAAATTTAAATTATCATGGACGACTTACAGTAACTCCATTGCAGCAACAGCAAATAGGTAACAGGTTCAAGGCACGTGTAAAAAATATAAATTAATCCAAAATATTGATTTCGTTGTCTTCATATGATGCTTTTCAGAAGACATGGCCACGACACAGGAAAGTAATTAAAAACACTAAGATTAAAAAATACGTCTTTTAAGAAATGTTTTTGGATCTACGAGCTATATAACATATTCGCAAGAATTTTTTTTTATTTAACAAAAAAAATTACAAATTAAATTGTTGATATAATTTTAAAAAAGCGTTTACTCAGTGTATAAGGCTTTGTTAAAAGTATTAATAGTTGACTAGCCATGAACCAATAAATGTCGTATTTGATGTTACTCACGTACGTCTAAGGAAATCGAGGAATTGAAATTCACGATAAACTACAAAATACCTGCTGGATATCATAATATATACACACTTATTGAATAAATCTGAATTTGTGATATCGTACGCAATTATATCTAACAATTACAACTTGAGGGAACCAAAAAGCACTTTTGGCTTATTTTCACTTAATGGAGCGTGAAATACTTCTAAAATATCTAATCAAGATCCGCTGTCGGCCTATTTCTACTTTGAACTTTAAAAAATTCCACATATTAAAAACTTATTTAAAATCATATGACAGTAGGCCAATTTTTTGAATGCCTTTTTTTAAAAAGCCATCTGTAGATTTCGAAAACACTTTCAACGGTTTCAAACGCGAGTTTTATTAGTTAAGTACTACGATAACCCAGGGTCACAAGTTATAATTTATGAGTATGGAAGTTTCTGATCCTGAACGGCAATCGTTCATATCAAATTAACCAACACCTTGTTTGCAATATGACATTTCATACGTACTTCATAGCCTAGTTACAATAAATAGACACCTACTATGTTGCGACATGCGTGTTATTTCTCATTCATAATGTCAAAAGTTATCCAATGAACCGATTCATCCGGCCTCTGTAGAGAAAAACTATAAGTGTTTTCATTTAAATAAAACACTTTAACGGTTTAAAACGCGATATATTAGTTAAACTTATTTGGAAATGATTTTTAACTTCGGCCCGACGTTTCGGATGCTTTGCAGCAGCCGTGGTCACGGGGAGACGTAATAATGACGACGAAGACGTATAAGTGTTTTCACTAGAAGTTAACTTGGTACTTATGTTAATATTGTATTTTGAGTAACTTGGGAAATTGGCCAGACACATTTGATTGTTTTGAAATTATTCATTATGTTTCCCGGGATTTGAACCGGGATCTATCTATGAAGGATGTCAGTTGTTAAGTATTACATTTCGTTAAGTTTAAATAAAACACTTTAACGGATTAAAACGCGATATATTAGACTTGCATTTTCCAGCCCGTACTGGTATATCAAATACTGTCTATCGTTTACGCGAGTAGTACACATTTAAATAAAACACTCTAACGGTTTAAAACGCGATATATTAGTTACTAATTAATAGATAATTACTCGCGTAACTAAAGACAGTATTTCGTTAAGTGTAAAAAATAATGAAAAAAATGATATGAACAAAGTCGCGGACAAAAGTTGTTATCAATTATAAAAAAGAAAGGTTCTATAACAATTAAGCATGTATTTCATCACGTACAGAAATATCAGTTAAGATAAAAAACATATTGAAAGACGAATTTGTTAATGAGAAGATAATTTTTGTGTTCCAAATGTTATCTCAATTCAAAGTACATTACGGATATGGTACTATATTGGATCTAAATATCTCTAGTTACATAATAATTTACAAGTAACGATTAAGAAACATTTTAGGTACATAACTTTTAAATTTCATTTGCATGCCATTTAAGAAAAAATACCAAACTCGATTTGATAGCTTTTAAACAACTAAGGATATTTCTTATTACTAAAATTCATACAACGATACAATCTTATGTAAATAATAAAATAGAATATGCTAACATATCCAATTATGAACGGGTTGATTTCTATCTACCAATTTTCAATAATAACGGATTACAATAATTACAGTAAAATTTGCAAGGAAAAGGAAGGATATATAATTGCGCAATTCGTGCATTCAATTTCAAATTCCAGTTGATTTCCATTTGTAATAATTTTTAAGAGCAATTCAAGAGATCATCTTTATAAATATAGAGCTGAAGAATTTGTTTGTTTGGACGAGCTAATCCTCAAGAAGTACTGGTTCGAATTGATTTTTTTGTTTTGTATTAGAGCATTTATCGACAAAAGTTTTAGGTTATAGAACGAAGAATGTGTGGAAAATGCGAGAAAAATGATTTATCTTCGAAGGTTCCCGTTGCGTGCGCTGCGAAAACAGTTCAAGATACCCAAAATAGACTAATGAACAAAAGATTCCAACTTAAATTATCTGAAAATGTACATAACTATTCTACGCGGAAGACGTCGCAGGCACGGCTACTCTATATAAGGCCTTTTATTTGAATTTTGAACTTATTAACCTTTAAGTCAATGAGTCAAACCTATTTAGCTTTGTATGATCGAAGGTCCACAGCTTGAAACCGAAATGTGGTTAAACTCACGGCTTTTGCATCTGTGGTCGTATCTAGATTTCTAGACCATTTTGTTAGAACCACCAACTTTATTAGAAACATGTTGGATTGTTGTGTTTTTTTAGCCTGTTATTAGTCATAACTACGTTGCTACCCGACAGCCGACCGCCTCTGTAGCTAAATGATTAAACGTATTGCCTAGCATTACCTTACCATAGTCCTGGGTTCAAATCCCAGGGAAACAAAAAAATGTTTCGGTCGGGCAGGGCACAGAAGTCTGATCAACTACTTGCCTGTTAAAGAACGGATCAGTGAACCGGACACAATAATGTGTCCGTTCCATGCCCCACGAGGGGGAAACGGGATTTCACTTTACGTTGCTACCCGTAGACCAACGATCAAAAAAATTAAAGACCTAAATCACTTAATGCAACAACAAGTTATTTCCGAAGCCTATTTGGGGAAATAACACGCTATATGCAATTAAATTAAAACTGAGCGAAGCGTTCCCGTCCGTTGACCCACGCTTTCCTGCGAGCCTGAATGCAGTTCCCCCCTGCCCCCCCTACAACTGCATGCGTCTTATAACAATGTCCCATTGTAGACGCCAAGTTAGACGTATTGTGTAGTACTATGCTAGTAGCAGATATTTTTAGCTTTAACTAAACTAATCAAATTTATATTTATTTAAATAAAGTAATGAAAACTATTAACGAAGTAGAGGTTAGGCAATTCATTCACATTTATAATTTGAGACGAAGACATATCAGAAGCCATTAATCGGTCTAGCTATTTTTTCGTTTATTATCACAAAGTACAAAACTTACAAGAATAGAAAAATACATAGTACAATTTCAACTTTCTGCTAAAAGGCATCAAGACTCTAACACGGCTCGCTGAGCACAAGCTATGATTATTATGTTATGACTTGCTAGTATTATTGCAATAATTTCGATTTTGTTGGCGTTAAGATACAAAGTGTAAATACCTTTATGATTTCGTTTTTCAGAGGAGAAAAGCTGTACGTGACAGCTGATAAGCGTGGTGAGAAACCAGGTTGCAAACGGCCCCTCTGCTGGACCCTGCTTGGACTAGTTGTAGCAGTCATTGTTGCTCTTATAGTGTTAGCAGCCAGTGAGTATCATAACCAATAATAGTCTATTCGAACTCTTGAAATTCTGAGATACATCTAATGTCCTGAAAATAGATATTCAGAAGATTAAGTTATTTTTTAATTTAAAATCTTTTTTGCATATTACTTCGATTGGTTGAAAAAGTCCGGTAACTCAATGGGTTAGACTGAACGCCGTGGATGCCCTTAAAATTCCTCCTGTGTCGTAATTTTTTTCGAATTTAAATACATTTTAAATTTATCTTATAATGCCAATAAGCTGTGAAAGATATATTAGTTCCTAATAATGTAGGTTTAATCGGTTTTTGTATTAGATACCGAAGTTTATAATATTAGACATAGAAAGGACACCAGTCGCTTTCACAAGCTAATGGGCCAACCTTCAGTAATGGAGAGATGCACAAGAAGAAGATAAATAGAGAAAATAAAACAAAACTTTGTTAATTAAGTACATTTAGACAAATACAACAAAGTATAAAAAGTTACAAATTTTTCAAATAATTTTTCAGCTGGAATTCTATTTTCCAACTCTCCAACACCCCTGGAACAATACAACGCGTCTCTAAGCTCAGCTCGAGCTTTTGGCGGAATAGGCAGCTCTGATCACGATCATTCATCACATGACCATGATTCTCACGACCATTCTCATCATCATCATCACGAAGATACTACGATAGCGAATGTACCTAGCATAGAGGAAGCTCGTGAAAATACTTCTGATGATTCGGACATTAATATGTATGGTATGTATTCAAGATCCTCATGACGTAATTGTGGGGGGAAACAAAATCTCTTTTTCAGTCCCTATGTACTCTTAAATCTTTGAACTATGCAACGGATTTGAATGCGGTTTTTTTATAGATAGAGACATACCAGAGGAGGTTTATATATATAACGTTTTCAGTTTTTCTGTAGTGTATTTAATATCAGCATTGTAGTCGAGCGAAGGCGGGTCGGGTCTCTAGTTATTTTTTATTTAAAACCATTTATTATAAAAACATTATTGTATATTCTGTTCTCTCTCCTCTCGCAGTGCCACGAACAGTTGAAGGTGAACTAAGAATAGACAACGAAAAGTTTGTTCCCGAGTTACAAGATCCGGAGAGCGATGAGTATCGTGAATTTACATCCATATTCAACGATGCACTTAAACAAGCAATTTTCGACAAAAATGACTTGGATATGAGCGATAATGATGTTACACTTGAAGTTGTCCAAATAAGGTAAATAACTCTAACAACTATCATCTTAGTTTCTACCATAAAACTTGCAAAATTATACATAAAAAGAAACTCGGATTCAAAACATCAAATACACCTTTATCTATCGTATAGAAAATATATAATAATAAGTAAATACAGTAAGAAATAAATATGTATTGAAGGCGATTTAATTTTAACTATAAAAAATGTTTGTTCCAACGAATCAAAGACACAATTGAGATAAAAATACTGAACTAGTTTTAAAATATTAACACAATAAGTTTTTCAAACATTTGAAAACATTTTAATCTTTTTCAGAAACGGATCAATCGTCGTAACATATAGGATTCATTGGATACCGAAATATAATGCAGAACCAACGGAAGATTTGTTAACAGCAAATAGCCTGAGGTCTAACTTGAATGACTACCTCGGCAGAAATAATAGAATGATCAGCGTATACCATGTAGCGGAAGAATCTGTTAACGCAAGACCCGTTTTGGATATGTGTAAAGTAAATAATAATGATTGCGAATATGGATGCGAATTTGATGACACCACTTTAGAATTTACGTGCACTTGCCCCTCTGGACAAATGACTAATATAAACTTACCTAAAACCTGCGTAAGTGTCTTAAACAATGCAGTGTCGGAACCGAAGAGTACTATGAAATCTATACCCGAAGATAAACTATACTCGGAATCGGAACAGGAATCAAATCCTGTACCGACGACGGAATCCGAACTAAACTTTTCTCATATATTTGGAGAGCAAAGTAATCCCAATCCAGAACCAACAGCCGAAGATGAAGCGAAACATGAGCCTGTAGCTACATCTGAACCAAATCCTGCACCTGAACCTACGGCAGAACCAAATATGAGTGTTGAACCAGCTGCGGAGCCGGAACCATCGGCGGAGCCTAAGCCAACTGCCGAACCTGAGCCGGAACCTGCTAATAAGTCTAATCAAGAACTTGAGTCTACTGCTGAACCAAAACAAGAACCTGAACCTACAGCTGAGCCAAAACAAGAACCTGAACCAAGTTCTGAGCCAAAACCAGAACCGGAACCTACTGCTGAACCTAAGCCTGAACCAACGGCTGAGCCTGAACCAGAACCTTCTTCTGAGCCTGAACCAGAACCTTCTTCTGAGCCTGAACCAGAACCTTCTTCTGAGCCTAAGTCAGAGCCTGTACCTCCTTCAGAAACAAAACAGGATCCCATTCCTCAATCCAGGGATGAATCGGAGTCTAATTCAGAATTGGAAACATCATCTGAACCAAAACCAGAACCTGAACCAACATCACAACCGGAACCAAGCCCTGCTATTAAAATAAATCCTGAGCAAAACTCTCAAACGACTCAAGGAAACCCCCAAACGCAATCAATAATAGAATCAAACCAAGAACATAGCACGTCTACAAAACAATACAATTTACAGGACATCTATCCATTTTTGGAATCACAAGAAACTAATGAGGAATCCTCTATTACCACTGAATCAAACACGATGTCGGGACATATGCATGAGTCTGAGTTAAGGGTCAATAATAGGGGTTCAGACATTGAAAGTGAATATAGTCATACGAATGATTTTAAACCTTTCCCTGAATCAACACAAACGCTAAACGTGGCTACAGAATCTATGTACCAAAATGATGGCGATACGCACATCGAAACTGGAAAAGAAGTATATCAAAGTGCTGACAATGAAAAACCAATAAAGGATTATCTATATCCCATCACAGAAAGTGATGCCGTTACGACAACAGAGACAGTATCAATTCTGTACCAAGACAATAAACAAGATGAAGAAATTGATGACAAATCACTTCTGGTCAAGTCAAGGGATTCCTCATCAGAAGAAACGTCAGAACAAAAAGACCATAATGATTCAACATCTCAAGAAACTACCACTGCCAGAGTTTCAATTTCAGATTTTAATATAAAAAATGACCCTTCATATGAACCAAAACCAGAGATAATTAGCATCTTAAAAGATAATGATAGCACCCCCAATGTTGAAACCACAACTAGTGGAGATTGGCTTCAAAACGATGACATTAACTTAGCTTTTCCATATACCAACAAACCTATTTTCAATTTGAACTCTCAGATGCATGACAGCAAAAACGAAAATGACGATATAACTTTTGATACCCTGCATGACAAAAATGAAAATACATCGGATATGAAAACAACAACACTGTCTACACCTTTGGAATTGACAACAACGCCTACAAAAATAAATGAAGAGAGTGACATAAAAGCCATCACAATAACAACCGAACAAAATAATTACAACGTGGCAAATGATGCAAAAACCGAAGTTCTATCTTTAGGCGAGGATATAAAAAACCACATGGAAACTTCTACTACATCTAATACCGAAACTAATGTGTATTCTATAAGTAACGATTACAAAATTACAAACGAAAATTCAGATTTAATAGACGCAGTAGCACGCATTACAACTACATCTACTGAGAAACCTAAAGATGAAAAGGTAGTTAACGAAAATGAAGAAGTTACCTTTGATGCGTTAAACTCACTTTATAATCGATCATCCAAATCAATTGAAAATTTACATAATGATGACGTAAAAACGACTACATTTAAAACAATACCTAACGAATCGACGGATTCCACTACGGATTCAGATTGGTTATCGGAATCAGTTACAGAAGTTAATTATGAAGACATAATAAAGTCTCAAAATTCGGAATCGACCGAATTACCTGCAATAAAGGTTGATGAAGCAATAAGAAAAGGATTAAATAAAGATGACTTTGAACCAGATTACCTAAATAACATGGGTAATAACAATAGTAAAATGTCCGAACAAGATGAGCCTCTATATGGCATTATTCACGACTATGATAATGAGGATCCTAGAGTTAAGAGAGTAAATAACGAACACAAGAGTGAAAATACTCTAACACAAGTTACTACTGACAGCACCAATTTAGAGAGTACAATTAAATCCGATTTTGCACCTATTGAAACTACAACCGTTACTGATTATATTTATAAAACGGCTAATGTTGTCAATAGAGTTTCGCCGAAATCGGTAAATGATGAAGAATCATCAATGTTCTTAACTAATAATCCAGCGCCCGTCTGGGAAGAGCAGGGCAAGGGTGATTCAAACAAAGGAGTCGTAATAAAAGAAATAGCAAATGAAACTGCGATCCATTATACAAATAAACCAAATACTGATACTTTACCTTCTACTTCACTATCGATTGTCAATGAAAATTCTTCACAAGTTAATAATCTTGGTGTGACCATATATGAAGTGCCTAGTCAAAATTTAAACCTCACTACAAGCTCACCCAAGACTCTCAACTCGCCAGCCCAAGAATATGACGACCATGAAACAGAAATGAATCCCTTCCTACCCGAAGTCGAAAATAATAAGATTCTTGTAAAGAAGCTGCAAGAAGGTCACGATCTGGAGCCTACGAGCTTAAACGAAACTCAAAATGAAGGAGACGAGCATAACTCAACCAGTATTGATGATAAAACGACTAATACACAAACTTTAAACGAAGAAAGCGTTGAAAACGCACCTCAAACTGTTATTCAAATTCAACCAACAGAAAAGGACGCCTCAGATAGTGAACAAAATGAAACAAAGCTCAATAATGAAGAATCAACGAAATCGGATTCAACTCTTTCTTTACAGAATTATGATTTAACAACGAAAAGGGGTGATTTTGAAGTATTACCAATTTCAAAATTTTTACTAGACACTGATGATTTAGACTACACCAATGGCGATAACAAAATATTGATGCAGTCAACACTTCCCGAAAATGTATTATTTAACGACTCGCCAACTGAATACCTTAACGTAGTTCCTATACTCGAAAAGGAAACAATTAAGAAAAATTATAAAAGTGAGAATCTGGAGCTGAATTCAATAAGTGATTCACCAAAAAAAAGTGATAGAAGGACACTCGATGTGACAAACGCGGACTCCGTAAATAACGAAGCGTAGTCCTTAGCTTTACGTAGATTAGTTACGTTACATAAGGTTGTACATTATAATATTTCCTGTGATTCCAGTCGATCGTTTCTAAGGCTACATCCTCCTATTAACCTGATCGGCCGCATACGACGTAAAGCATAGCATTATATATCATGTTGTCGACTACGACGCTGACGATATACGCACCTTTATAGGAGTTTATGAGACCACAGCCTTACGAGATAACACACGACAATATCAACTTAACGTAATGAATATTTTAAAAAACTTAAAGCATAACCATTCCTTTAATTCGTGCAGTGTCTCACTTTGAGATCTGTACATTGTAATATCTATTTTCGTTAGACTAGTCAAATTAGGAAGTCACGATCAATATATCGGTAGATAATTTATTGATTCCAATTAGGATGAACATTTTTATTTTGCTAAGTTAAAACTAATTTTTAGTAAATTTCCCTACTTACCACACAAAAAGTAATACGTAAACAATTAAATATTCATCACATTATATTATGAAACGAACGAAAAATGTTTTAATATTAAATTGTTACCATAGATTATATAATGATATTTAAAACGAAACCAGAGAGCTGTGGGTTTTGTCTTTATCGTGTTCTGTTAAAAGATTATAATAACGTACCGTATGTAAGAATTCCTCTGCCATGTCAAATGATGTGATACCTTGATAGTTTCGCGATACATTCCGTATGCTCATAATTTATACATACCTAATATTGTCTATTTTATAATTTAACACAAAGAACTTTATGGAAGTGAGGTCTGATTGTAATTATTATAGTAATTCTTGTTAACTGAGATAATTATATTTTGTATAATATGGTTGAATCTGTAAAGAGATATGTTGTAAATAAATATAAAGTTAATGTAAAATAATTACAGTGTTCAATTTTTTATATACCGACCTAATAATAGTAATCTTGCTTTTTACTAAAGGAAACACTTAACAAGAAAGAATACAACAAGTCATTTTAAATACATTTATTACAGTTCACATTATACTTGGCAGGGAATTGGCATTAAATCGTTCATTTCTTGGTAAATCATTTGACTATCATCCATTGCCATTTTGGCACAAAGGCATTCTTCGTTGATAGTACCCGTACCAGAAACAATGCACCTGCCTAGAAAAGCCTTACAACTGTTATATGGAACTATATTATTTATTTCTTTTGCGTTTTCAGTCGAAACATTCTTAACAATAGCTATATCAACATCAACATATTCTTTAATCTTGATAGCACCATCACTATTATACTTGAGTTCGGGCAGATCTTTAATTGGAATGCTTTTCTTTGAACAATCGCAGCCTCGACAAGCACCATCTTCATTTGCTTTATTAACTATGGACTTTTCTATATTCGTAATTATATTTATATTTTCACTATATATATCATTCGTTTTAGTTAAATTTGGTATATTTTGTACATTATCAATCCTTTCTGAAATATTGCTTTCTTTTAAAGACAAATCATCAAACAGTTTGTATTTTTTGGTTAGTTCTAATGGTTTCTTGTCCCCCTTTATATCAATCTGGCTGAATTCCATGTGACCATCTGTAAAAGAAACAATGTTTAGATAAGTACTTAGTGAAATTAAAATAGTAATTGTTGCCATAAACAAACCACACACACATACCTTTGAAACAATTGGGAGACATAGCAAGTTCAGAGTCATAAGACAAATCATCTTCATCTTCAATAACCAGTTTATTTTCTGAAAGAAGAAAGCAATTAATTTTGCACCAAAGAAATATAAGTAATATTTAATTTTAGTTTTACAAACCATTAAAAATACTTACTATGTGTTCCCAAGTGTCTTTTTAATGCATACTCATTAGTGAAAATCTTCAAACAACCAGGTATGTGGCAATTTAGCCAAGAATTAGGTGTATGTTTCTTTTGGTGTGTTTTCAAATGATGGAGTTGTATGAACCCTGTCAAATGGAAATATTGCATTTAGCACTAGTAAGAAAACCATTTATAAAGGTATGAACTTTCACCACCATGTTTGGATTTGTGAGCTGTTTTTTTTTTCATTTCATGAAGTGCAAAGTTCTTTTCTCGTAATTAATTTGTGCACCATAGCATTACAATCCAAAATGATACTAAACAACATTATAAAGAAATCACTGCAGCTTGCCTCTTGCGTCTGCTTACTCAGTAGTCACTCACCCATTGTGATAACTTTTAGTCAACTTTAAACAAATATTGATAGTTTGTTTAAACAATGATACATTGTTAAGTTAATTTACCTTTGCCGCAACTGGAGCAGAAATGTTGTTTTTCAGATGAATGTGTTAGCTCATGATGTTTCAAATGATGTGCAAAGTTAAATGTTTTCTCACAACCATCGTGGCTACAGTGAAATCTCCGCTCTGACTTTGATTTATGTGTTTTCTGATGTGATAACAACGCTTGTTGGCTGTTGAACTTTGCTTCACATTTTGTGCAATTATGAGTTTCTGAAATAGAAGTTGAAAGCATGAATAATAGTTATATCAAACACTTACTGAACTAAATCATCCATGGAAATTGTATACAAATAAGATTTTTTTACTAACAAAAATATTTTCTATAAAATAATATTTAATTTACATACATACACCTGATTAAAAGGATAGTTCAAGAAATCCCCTTACCTCTATGAGCATACTTGATATGTCGCTTAAGTAAAGTTTCATCTCGAAAGTTCCGACTACATTCTGAACACTGAACACTACCAGTTCTGAAATGTTGTTTCTGATGCCTCCGTAATGCAGATCTATAAAGTAAAATATGTTTTAATTATGTCTCTTCTTCGTAAAGACAAATTGACAGATAATGGTTTACTGTCCTTGCTTGTATCAACTTATGTAACTCATTGTGGTGTACAGAATGAGACACTTACAATTATGGATAGTATATATGAGTTTATTTGAACTAAGACAAAAGCAATAAGAAATGTCTCAAAACAATTAATAAAGAGTTACAAAATGGTTCACCCACATAATATAAATAATAGTAAACAAAATAACTTACACAAAACTAAACTTTTTTAAACATTCTGGACACTCAAATTGGGGAGTATGACTTAATTCGTGTCTCTTTTTCTCACTCTCGTACTTAAACTCTTTAGCACAATATGCGCATATGAACATTATCTTCTTGAAGTATTTTTTTTATAATTAGTTAAATCCGAATTTAATCCTTCGCCTAGGATTTCCGATGGTCAATGGCTTCGTATACAAAATGGATTTAAAATCGCAATATGGATCGCCTTAAAACTTTATCCCTCTTATCAATATAAGCTTATCTTTTTGGTGTCACGTACATTTTATCACAGCTGACAATCACAAGAATATATCACAACACATCACAATCGTTTTAATAGTTTGCCGTATAGATAATGAAAGTAAAAAGTACTTAGGGCACTTGCTTTATATAAAAATGTTTTATTCTGTTATTCTCGATATAAACTCTATGATTTGAATATTATGGTTTCTTATTAAATAGATAAATAATTATAAACCTTTGTCATATGAATTATGTTTTCTGCATATTGCCCATGTTTTCAATTAGCCTAGAAATAAATTTAATGTAATATTAGTAATAATTGGTAACAATAAAACCCTTACGACATTACGATCTTTCCTAACCCCTTTACGAGAGACTAATAAATATGATTTTTGATTTAGCATAATAATTATTTATACTATGTACTTGTATTCGATACAATCTACGGAAACGTAAAATTCTTTATAGCCTGTAATTTATAAGTGTGAAATGTCAAATTTATCTTTACCTGTATATTGGACAACTAAACATGTCAATTGTCATATAAGTTATTTTGTCAACATTGCGTTTTTTAAATAAATATTCTATGAATTTATTATATACATATATATAACAGGAATAAAAACAATTCCACAGGTTATAAAATATTAAATTTTGAATTGTATTGAAAGAGGTTTTAATCACACCATGACCAAGGAACTTTTATTTTGCTATGCATTTTAAAATAAATTGAATTTGAAAATGTTTTTCGGATACAATAAGTTAAAATACATCAAAGTATTACTATTATATGTCGTATAAAATATCTCATGAAACATATGTTAATTTACGCGTCAGAGAAAAAAAAGAAGAATAATGATATTGAAATAAAAAACATATAATTGGCGTAGTTTTGTTGTTACGTAAGTTTACATCGAACAAAATGTCTCGAAAAAACCTCGTGTTCAATCCGACATACAGAATAAATCAACTCATTTAGTCAAAATACAGTTCTCCCATAGTATTTTTATTAGACCGAAGAAATCTGCATATAATAACACTTATAGACTAAAGTGAATTAGTACTCAGGAGGATATATGATAAGACACACGCGAGATGCAAAGTTGGATAAAGATAACTCTCATTTTGTGCCTGTTTGGGACTCTGAGGGAAATACGACCTTCGGAGCCGTTTGTCACAGAATTTTTACTTGGAGAATGGAGAAACATAACAGAATCCCAATTGAACAGGGAAGTTTATCCAGTGGGAACTTATTCGTATTTGGGGTTGTTAGTTATTGTCTTTCTATTCACTGATTTCTTAAGATTCAAGCCAGTAATTATACTGTCAGGTAAGTAACTTATTTTAATTTAGAGTAATAGTACTTATGACAGTGTGTGAACAAACAAGTTGATAAATATGTATCTTATCTTAATCTCAACAATGGTTTAATACCTGTTTTAACAACAGTGAAGATAAGGTTACCATAATAAATATGTATATTTTACTCTCTATGTATGGATTATGATAATTGTCTGCTCAATTTTTAGGACTTAGTGGTATTTCTGTGTATGCAGTATTACTATGGACAACCAGCTTAGGATGGCTTCAAGTATCTCAAGTTTTATATGGGATTTACATGGCTACAGAAGTTGCTTATCTCACCTACATATACGCAAAGGTATTGCTTTATATGATTGAACTGTTAATACAATAACTTTAATTTAAGTAATTAAATAAAAAGCTTTATGGGACAGAGGGGTGAGAGAAAAGTTGCATTATGTGTTTGATTTTATTTATATTTTATTATTTATGTATGTTATAATTAGCTATTTTAACACTTTAAATTTTGATATTTTTTTGTGTAATTAAAGGTGGACTCTTCAAAATACCCCCGGGTGTCATCATACACACGAATTGCTGCCCTTACAGGGAGGTTCTTATCTGGAGTAAGCTCACAACTTCTGACCTACTTTGGCCTGATGAACTACAGAGACTTAAACTATATAACACTTACTGGTGAGTGAATTTGTTTTTTTTTATGTAATATGAAGGCATAAGAGATCTTTACTTTGAATGCTGTGAAAACATATTCTGAGTACTAATTCACTTTAGTCTATAAGTGTTATTATATGCAGATTTCTTCAGTCTAATAAAAATACTATGGGAGAACTTTATTTTGACTAAATGAGTTGATTTATTCTGTATGTCGGATTGAACACGAGGTTTTTTATAGCAACCCTTAATTTACTTTATTTTATTTACTTTATTACTCCATCACACATTGTGATGGAGTCATTGCATAATAATAAAATTAAAACCACCAGTAAAACTTCTAATACTTTGTGTATGTCAGTAATGTTTCTCATAGATATTCTATCAATGAATTTTTTTATGACAGACAAACATGGGGTTCATGGAAGGTGGAATATCTCAGTTATATATAGCAGCCTCACAGTTTTTCCTGTGGACAGTGGTTTGTCACCCAGACAACTTCAATATCCTACCAGCCATTTAATATCCAGAATTCCCAAAAATTCTAACATGTGTCAGAAAAATGATAAATTAATTATAAACATGTTGAACCTGATGGGGATCAAACCCAGCATATGTTGAAAATTAACCATATATTGCTAGCTTAAGACTCGTCAAAATGAATTTGTTTATAAAAACATATGTCAAGAAATAGTTTGAGATACATATACTACATCCGCCGAGACATAAAATATGTCCGAAGCATTGCCTTCATCATATCAATCAAGATAAGATCAAACTTAATTAATGTTTATTGAAATGAACACAACTCAATAAATATTTGTATAGCTATAATACTGAGTAGTGATGTACTTTAGATAGTATGTGATTACTACGACTCTTTTTTAAACTGTTTCGTTCATTCTGTATTGAAAGGTCTTTATAGTTTTGTTGATAAGATGATTTCGTTTTAAAAAATGTGATTATTATTAATGAATACAAATTCATAATATAACATTATTTATTCTTGCATTTTAGCTCAAATATTTGCAACATTTTGGGCATTTTGGCTACCTCCTGTACCCTATGGGATATACTTCCACCGCAGATCCATTGCCAGTACTAATGCAATACAGAACGATGCGCAGGCGCCGATAGAGAAACCAATACCACATAACATATATGATTCTGTATGTATAAAAGACCTTATACTATTTCACTTATACTTTTACACTGATAATTCAGAAAACAATTTAACAAATATCCATTGGTAACTTTTGTAAGTGGTCGTCCTATTTTAATATCAGAAAAAGTTTGCTTGCGAAATTCAGAAAAATAGTTTAGGAAAAAAATTAAAGACCTGCTTAAAATCATCTCTATAACTAACTACAATGTCTGCGTACAATAGTTATTTCAATTATATATTAAAGTTTTAACTGTTACCCGTCGTAGACTTTCTCGCGTTCCGACGTTTTTGCAATTTAACCTTAATAGATAGACATATATTGTCGAGGACATTTTTTCAGATTATTTAGAGAGGATTTATTCTCTTATATATACTTTTTTTGGGTATCTTGAAACGCAGCACACACAACGGAAACTTTTTTCTCCTATTATTATTATTTTCTCTCGGGGACACCTGTGGTAGGACGGGTGATCAGTTCACACTATCAGCTGACCATTTCACCCATTTCCCCATTTCCACCTTGTGGAGGTTTTGGGTCATCCAACTCTCCCCGTGTCCCCTTCAAACCTTCCGGTTTGCTTGCAGAATCTTATAATTTTTTCCATCTGTAATTCTTTGATCTCATCTTCTGTAATTTCGTCCGAACCCATATGTTTTTCTCCTATAGGTCGCAGCGTGATGTTACATAGCCTAAAGCTTTCCTCGAGAAATTGCTCTAACCAACACAAATAATTTTTCAATTCGAACCGGTAGATCCTGAGATTAGCGCGTTCAAACAAACTGTTCAGCTTTAAAATATTAGTATAGATAATAAGTATATTAATCTTTATAAAGATTGAAAATCTTTGATTGGTTGCTATTAACTAACTGAATTGTGTTATATTCTTTTCAGCAATCATTCCGTTCTCAAGTAACAGAAGCGACTGTCCTGATATACCGTCACGCCCGCGCTGCCTACTCGCGGCCACGGGTCGTCGCCTGGTCAGCGCTGTACGCGGTTGCTCTCGCGCTGTTTGTGCAAGCGCAGACGTACATGCAGCTGCTGTGGAGCAAGATACAAGACGAAAGCAATGCGCCGGTACCTATCATTTTAGAATTAAACATATATTTGCACCAGTCGTTTTGTTGTATTTCTTCTCTGTGGACTGTGATAGTACTGTTATTGTCCTTTTGAGTATTCGGGGCATCATGACCACGATGGACCACTAATTGATTTTATTTACAAATGATTACGTGTTAAATCTTTTAAGTGTACAATTAAGAATATTTTAAAAGTATATTACGTTTACATACATTAATAAAATACGTACTTATTTATTAAAATTAATTTAAAAGTTTTTGCCTTGACCGCGATTATGTGACCGCCTCCTGGCGCCAAGCCCTTCATCAAACCCAGCTAAACAAACTTTTCGACACTTTGTAAAGTTTTTACAATAAAACTATAGTGGGATTGGGAAAAAAGGATAACTAAAAAAAAAACGCCAAATAATTTAAAATGATGTTTCAAAAACAGGTTGCATATAATGGTGCAGTGGAAGCCGTACAAACACTGTTAGGAGCTGCAGGCGCTTTCATTGCGTCTTTCTGCGCCCGCGCATCATTTCCCGGACCAGTTGCTGCTTTGCAGGGCATTGCTATGTTTCTTGCAACATATATTAACAACATCTTTGTATCCTACGCTGGCTACATCATTATGGGCATGCTCTATCATTATACCATCACATTAGCAAGGTATTTATATAATAACTTTAAATCTATTCATTTATTTGCAAGTATATCTAGGTATATAACTATGTGATAGACAGACCAACCAACTCAACCACAATATCTTTATTTTGGTGCTGATTATAAAAGCTTATTAGTGTGGTCATTGGATCTCACTACTGGATTAAGCTATGTGGCATCTATATTAGAACAAATACATGTATTTGAACAAGTATACTAATAAAATATGTATTGTTGATTCATTGTTCAGACAAAGTTGTAATTAATTTTGAAATAATACTTCATTTTTAATGTTACAATCTAAATGGTTTCCCTTTTTCAGTGCAAAAATAGCTAGTCAACTTAGTGATGAGAGTTGTTTCGGCCTTATATTTGGTATCAATACATTGGTGGGTACTGGATTACAATCCCTGCTTACTCTTATCCTTATACAGACGTTAGATCTGCCAATACACGCTCAGTACTATTACCTAAGTGGCTTCTTCTTATTACTGGCGTCAGTCTGGTTGTTAGGTTGGATGGTGCACGTATGCAAACAAAAACATAGTATTAATTTTAATCAGTATTAAAAAAAATTGTTGTTCTTGATTTACAATAATAAATTTAGTCAAATACACAATCCATGTTCCTTAACATGTTTTAGAATTGTTACAAAGGCATAACTGAGCAATGTTACATAAATTAGATCCTATAAATTATTTTTCCATTTCATTCCATTCCGAATGGTTTATAACTTTATAGAATAAGGGTACAAGATGTTAAGAGATAAAGTATTGTAAAAAACCTAATAAAATGTAGTCTGTGATACTAGGCATTATAAATTATGATTTTTAAGCAATAAAAGACATATGCAAATAGAACAGTTTAATTTTCATTTTAACTATATAGATAACATTATTTTACAGTAAATATAAGTTATATATTACGATATGTTAGTCAGAATGTATAAGAGTTGAGAAGTTTATTTTATTTTTTCACAACCATTACGAAGCATGTCCAATATTATTTAAATTGATTTTATTAGATAAAGTACGATTACGCAACTTGCATTGTTGTCGGTCGCGTCTTCAGATATACATAAACACATATCAAGATGAAAACTACAGCAAATGTCGGAAGAACAACAGTGTGGATTTGCTGACGAACCTTTGCGAAGTCTTGTTTTCTTTCGCGTTTTTGTTTAGCAGTTTCTTTCACTGGCCCCTTAAGTTTCCTCATAATGGCCTAAAAGTTGAAAGTTTCTGAAAATATTCCGAATACCAAAAAGTCCAGCAACGTAAACAATGACGAATATGTGTATATTTTACCTTTACACAATTATTTCAATATCAAGCCGATTTTTAACCACTAAACTGATATAATACTGTATATTTTTCTATGTTATAAGTTTTTAATGGTTAAGCGGTATTTAGTATTTACACGAAATGAAAACACTTGCTACGCAAGCAACGTAGTGACAAGTCGTAGGTGACATCACATGACACTGGCAACTGACAAAAAATACACACACGGGCCACAGATATATACTAGTGGAATATGGCGACCAAGCTTCCAGTAGCCAATTTAGGACGCAGTAAAACCATAATTTGGTGTAAACAATATTTAATATAACGTCTTCATAGTACAGATTTTACACACTCTAGCAATACAATCGGGTAGTTTTAAACATGAAATTCCCCTCCATCACGTTTCTCATCTGACAAGGAATTAAGAATGCTTGTAGATGCATTCTGGGAGAGCCATATGATGCTAATGAACAGACCTTCCATGATTCCGACCCCAATTCCTCCAAAGACATCCAAGAAATAATGTCTTTCTGCAAGGACCCTGGATATGGCAACCGATGTAACCCAAGCCAGCAAAGGTGGGTAAAATATAAAGGAGACGGGATCGACACATATAAGAATGAAAGCAATTAAAACTGATCTACTAGCGTGACCTGATGGAAAAGAATACTTGTCAGGATTTCCTGGTATAAGTTTATTCATTGGTATTGGTCTTCTTCTCCTGACAAAGGCTTTTATTATTGCTATCACCACAATGTCAAGTATAAGAGCTGAAAAAAGTTTGATAATATCAATGACACTTAGGACCTAATAAAACAATATCATTAAAATCAATAAAGATATTTGTTTACCAATTAACATGTTTACTTGAAGCTGATACAATTCACTATTATTAAACAACCATATAAATGTAAGCCAACCAGCTAGCCACACTATTCCATGACATGATACCTGCAAAGTGATTTGAAGATTACATCTCTAAATTCTTTTTACAAGAGACTGATTAAATATTTATATATTTTTTTTTACTTAACATATTTTACAACAAAAAGGGAAGATTCTGGTTCCTTGAGTTAAGCGTGGGTATATCATAAATTTTGTTTAATAGGCAGGGAACAAAATTTTTTCACAAGACTAGCCTTGCATTGCCAAAAAAATTTGTTGCTCTTCCGCATTAAGCTACATAGACATTCGACTGATACTAAATGTTAAGATCACCTCTAACAGCTTAGAATGGTTTCCGAGAGATCGTAAAGCTGTTACTTTCTGTGCATTTTCAACAAATTTTTTTGTAAATTGCACGTCATATCTTAAAATTGACTGCAGCATTTCGGGAACCTTTCGCTTATCTTCCGACTCACCAAACTGTAAAATAATAATACATATACATATAAGTGTATTTAAGAACAATGATTCAACTACTTAATTATTACTGGTAATTAAGTAAATGGTGACTAAGGGCGGCTTATGTAAGGCCAATAGCTAACTTACCATGTCCATATTTTTAAAACGTATAGTAAAGCAGGGAAATGTATTTTCTTCGGTATTAGACGGTGCCTATATTAGGGCGAAATGCCTGTGTAGATAACATGCATTATGTACATACGAATATTTATAATCAAACAACATATTATTCAAACTTTTAAACACAAAATACAAATATTGCACTTGATAATGCTTAACATACTTACGTATCTTTAATTTAAATTAAGTTTTTATCAATTTACAAAACAAAATTAATGGTAATTGATTTTTAAGTTATTATGTGGTATTTGCCACAGATTAAATTTTATCACAGATGTTGTTAAATATTTCACAGATTACTAGTAAAGAAACTGTGTCACCAATAATAAATATTATGCAAAAAGATCTATCATAAATATTAATTAAATAAATACTTAGTTTAGAGGTCCATATTATGTTGTACTTGAATAAACTCAACGTCAGAAAAATTTTCTTGTCAACAAATTTCAATTTTCAGATCTTAAAAATAATCAGAAGTATTTTAAAAGTTCTTATGGAGTTTTTTGGATATACGTTATTTGGTCCACAAAATTATATAAAAGACACGTTGAAAGGTGACTATAAGGAACCTTTATCGAAAAAAGAGGCAGAAAATTTAATAAAAAATATGAAACTTACTTTAAATCTCAGAGGAAAGGTAAGTTCATAACTATCACCTATCAATATTAAAATGTATATAAATTCAATAATTAGAAATAGTTAAGATATCTAGATAATATGTTAGAGTTTAGCTGTATTCTTTTCCCCTTCTTATTAATCTAATTCTTAAGTAACACATTTCACTAAATATACTACATATTTAGTGAAATGTGTTACTTAGGTGATTAATTAAATGTGACTTAATTTAAGTTATACTTTTAGGATAGTCACGATTTCGATGTCATTCGAGTTATAGACTGCTATATAGGAAGAGTTAACGGATTTACTTATGGATCATCCCAACGATTTACGAAAATGAAACGTAAAGGGGTGATAAAACCTGTGGGTCCCGCGGAAATGTATAGAATTCCTCCAACAACGTCCATTGAGGTAGTCCTTTCCTTAACAATCGATTTAAATTATGCAAAACTGCTATACATGTTTTAATCGAGTTTGTGTGTGATTTCGTCTATAAGTACCATATTACATATTCGCCTCTGTTAGACTTAAAAATGGGTAGAATATAACGGAATGCTATAGACTTGCGTTAATGTCCCGCCCGTGATATTTATAATTTAGACTTAATTTTTTGCGAAAATCGTATATTTAGATAAAATTTATTTTAGTATGGATGGTGGCAACAGGATAATGCATTAATGAACACTTCATGGTATGTCACGCTTCCGAGGAGGCCTCAACCATCGTCGCCAAATACATTGATCCTTGATACAGTTCGTAAAAATAATAAATATGCAACTTTATTTTAATAATTTGTACTTACACGACTGTGTAATATATGCTTTTTTCTTATGTATATCGTAAAAATATATGAAGAATTTAAAAATATGAGTTGTAAATCGTAGAAAAAATTAAAGTTTTTATTAATACAAGAATAAACCATTTCTTTACATAATTTGCTATTGTGGTAACCAGTGAGCAAGTAAATATCATAGATATAGAAGTGAATATAATATATTGCATACATTTAAGAGCGTTTCGAGAAAATTGCGGTCTAAAAAACTGACTAGGAATGACTTTTTATTCGTATTGGTATTTGAAACTAGTGTAACGTTTAAATAAGAAAAAAATGATTCGTCATAAAGTTTCGTTACTAAACACGGAAGTATTAAGAGTTAAGACTATATAGTCTGTTACAGAGTTGCTACTCGCTACTATATTATCTGTAATAAGACGGAAATAGTAATCAATCGCGAGCAGTGGCAACACTCGTCTGTAGTTGACAGCTGTCTTTCCATCTTTTCGCGTGTTACAATCGTTGGAGACGGAGCTTTTTTAAAGCAAAGATGTAAGTTGTTACTCCCTAATATCAGTGAAATCTTAATAAAGGAATGCATTTTATTTACGAATTAGTGCTCTTACATTGGATGTGAAAGTGATCATAGGTTTATTTTAAGTTTAAAAAGCAAACGTGTTTTTACAGGTCTAAAGTATCTCGCGATACACTTTATGAATGCGTTAACGCTGTATTAGACGCATCTAAAGAAAAGCAGCGTAACTTTTTGGAAACTGTCGAAATACAAATCGGTCTCAAGAACTATGACCCCCAGAAGGACAAGCGTTTCTCCGGCACCGTCAAGTATGTTTACCTGAAGAGGGAATTTTTGTGGTTTTCTTAATATCTTCACAATTTTGATGGTTGACAAATCATATATATAGCGTGTTGAACATGCCTTTTAAAATCACAAAATTATCCCTGGACAGGGAGTCAGTATTCTGACGGGACTTCACCCAAAGTCTTTAAATAATGGGTAGGTTAGCTACGGCTTACCATATTTAGCTTTTTCTATCTGGATATATGGGTAAGAATGACTAGATATGCAATGTTTGCTGTTAGTTATTTTTTTACTCCTTTACATGATGATTTACTTTTATTGCATGTATTATCTGACATTGATGATTGTTTTTACTGAAATAAAAAAAGATTGTTAAAGAAAACATAATATCTGTTGTTAACTTAGTTAATAATTAATGAATTGTCCACAGGCTCAAGTACATTCCTAGACCAAAGATGCAAGTGTGTGTTCTAGGAGACCAACAACATTGTGATGAAGCTAAGAGCTTAAGTGTACCATGCATGGATGCTGAAGCTTTGAAGAAGTTAAACAAGAACAAAAAGCTAGTTAAAAAACTAGCAAAGAAGTAAGTGAAGTTCATAAAATATAAGAATTGTTAGTATGTAATGGATGGACCTTTTTGGCTTTATATTAATTGTAATACATACTAATTTAATACAGTTGAATCCGTTTATAATAACATCGAAAGGAATTGACAAATACGTCATAATATCCGGACATCATACAATGCGTTTTGTAAAACAAAAACTTTAATTTAATAATTTTTTAATGTAAATACTTTGTAATGTAAGTAATCTATAATTTTTGTTGATGGTTGTTCTTCATTTTATTGTAAAAACAGTCTCTGATATGATTGTGTATAGAAGCCAATTGCTATGGTCAAATTATCATTCTTAATATTGCTATGAACAAATCGTGATAATAATTCTGCAACTTTTAATGCCCCTCCTATGGTAGGTAATGGTTCTTCCTCGACTTCTTCGAACCGAACGTCGTTGGGAATCAACGAACATTACCCAGTACCCGGAGGTGTATAATATAATCATGTCAGTTGTTACAACCGGACATAATTTAAATACTGTCTATAGTTTACGCGAGTAGTACACATTTAAATAAAACACTTTAACGGTTTTAAACGCGATATATTAGTTAAACTTATTTAAAAATGATTTTTAAATAAGTTAACTAATATATCGCGTTTTAAACCGTTAAAGTGTTTTATTTAAACGGACATAATTTATTGAAAATGGGTCATAATAAACGACACATTATTGTAAGGGAAGTCATACACGCCTTTTCTATAAAGAATTTTATATGAAAACCAAACTTCGTAGCGTAATGACGTCATAATGAACGGTAGGACATTAATAGGCGAAATCATAATAAACGGATTCAACTGTATATAAAAAAAATTCACCAAAATGTTGATTATATTCTATTACATAAAAGCTACACATCTTAAAATCACCTAACTGAAATTATCTTTTTATTATTTCAGGTATGATGCTTTCCTTGCTTCAGAATCTTTAATTAAACAGATCCCTCGTCTGCTTGGTCCTGGATTGAACAAAGCGGGTAAATTCCCTGGTCTTCTCTCTCACCAAGAGTCTATGACCCAAAAGATTGATGAAGTTAAGGCAACCATTAAGTTCCAGATGAAGAAGGTATATAAATAAATATATATCTATTAAAATGATTTCAAAGCTTTGGCATAAAATAAGAACAGTAATCAATTATTCCATACATTTCAAATTTTTCAGGTTCTTTGTCTGTCTGTTGCTGTGGGTCATGTAGGCATGACCGCTGATGAGTTAGCTCAAAATGTTCACTTGTCCATCAACTTCTTAGTATCTCTGCTCAAGAAACACTGGCAGAATGTACGCTCACTTCATATGAAATCTACCATGGGACCACCTCAAAGATTGTACTAGTCTTTCCAAAATATACTTGACAACATTTATTTGATTTTTTTAATAACACCCCTAATATAAATGTATATGTAGCTAAAATCTTATATCAGGCCGCTCGAACCAGAGTAGCCTAACTGTCATTTTCAAAGTTTTCACTTTGGCATTGCAAATAGCCAAAGTGACCTGAAATTGACTTAATTTTTACGCAAATGTAACGAATATATTGGTATTTGTCAAGTTTAACTACTACTTTTTTGAACTTGTGATATCTTGATTATAAAAATTTAATTTTCTGACAGGATATAAGAGATGACAGTGAAAGCTCAACTCCTGTAACTGGAGTAGAACTTCTAGAAACGGTTGTAAAACCAAGGTGTAGAGAGAAAAAATCATTTACTAGATATATATATTGGATTAACACTCGCAAGGCAGCCGATAATAATTATGTACAGATTTACTGATTAAGCTTTACAGTATGTAGGTATAATGAAAGATATACTTCTAGCCTTAATTTTTATTCAAAACTACGCCTAGTATAGTACTATCTATTAAAAACTTAATTTCTTTAAATACTATGATTTTTAGATATAATATAGATGCGCATTTTTAACGTCAGAGTACAGTAAGTAAAACCTTCAATTATTTCAGTTAAATCAAATTTGTATTGCGCACTAATGTTAAGTGCGAACAAACTAACAAGCCGATTCCTCCAATTGTTCGAGCACAGGCAAGACTGTCTTTGCTCGAACAATTTCTTTGTAGGTTCCTCCTATCTAGATATCCTCTTATGCTAGACCCACACTCGTAATAATATCCGCCGTACGCCGCGCGAAAGTGGCTGTATTCTTATGCGAACTTCTCTAGGCATCTCAAATTTTGCCCCATATAGCGGTTATTTATATAGAATGTTACACTTTGCTTTGATTTTTAAAAACATAAAAGCTTACTCTTACATTTAAAAAACAATAAATTCTTTACTAATTTATAATAAAATAACTTAAACTTTGGTTTATTTATAAACTTAATACAAACTATACGAAAATATTAAATAAATTATAATAATTAAAAATTAATTATATATTTATTTTAATAAATGCTTACATAACATTAGGTTCATATATAACCAAAACTATGCGTAATTAAGTATTTCTGACTAAATAACAACGTCAATAGGTGCAAATACTTACATTTATATTATACAACTAAAAATCTTCCTATCTGACATATTTTTTTTTTTTTTTTTTTATTTAAAAGGTCTACAAAACTAAGCTTTAATATATAGACATGATATAAATGGCTTTATACAAGTAAAAAATCTTAAAAAATTAAGCTTATAAATATGTAGACACGACATGCAGATAAAGTTTAATCGTACAAAGTAAATAATAATTAAAACTAATAAAAATGTAACCAAACAACAAAACTGATACTGAAAAATAAATATTATATTAGTGCTCTAAAAGGAGACTTAGTAATTGTCGGAGGCCGGAAGTACTGTGATAAAAAATATCCAGGTCTGAAGAGTGATTGTTAAATAGTTTGCACATACGATGCAAAGGGGAGTGTTGACCAAAATTGGTTCGACGGTGCGGAAGAGCGAAAGTGAATACATTGTGAATACGACTACTTGCACGGGGAACAGAAAGATTTAAGCGGTTAATTAGGTTGATGTTATCTATTTTGTTATTAAATAATTTTGATAGAAATAAACCGTCAGCTAGATCACGTCGATGTTTTAGAGAAAGTAGTTTGTAATGCTGAAGTCTCTTTTCGTAGGAGGTAAGGGTTTTGCACAGGTTCATAGCATATGAAAGATGATATAGAAACTTTTTTTGTAGTCGTTCTATTCTGTCAATATGAATGGAATAATATGGGCTCCAAACAGGACTGCAATATTCTAGTACGCTTCGGACAAAGCAATTAAATAGAATTATGGATACTTCTGGATCGTTAAAAAATTTCGTTTTTCGTAGAACAAACCCAGACAACTTCGATCCCTTTTTACAAATGGTTGCTATGTGCTCCCTAAAGTCAATTTTTTTGTCTATTACGACCCCTAAATCGCGCATGCTTGATACTTCTTCGATCGCTACTCCATTAATATAATAAACAGTATTATCAGGTACCTTTTTCTTTGTCACTTTCATGTGGTAACATTTAGTGAAATTCAATGACATTTTATTGCTTTGACACCACAAGAGTAAAGAATCTAAGTCATTTTGCAACTGTAGAACATCTTCAGTAGTACGAATTATTCTATAAATCTTGAGATCATCAGCATACATTTGAAAATTAGAGGATAACAAAGAACACAAATCATTTATATAAATTGCAAAAAATAAGGGTCCAAGATGTGAGCCTTGTGGTACTCCCGACGGCACTGTTTCAGATTGAGATTTAAAACCTCGAATCGTAACTATTTGCGAACGATTCCGTAGGTATGATTCGCACCATCTCAATAGGGATCCACAGATACCGGCATGACCTAGTTTTTGGATTAGGAGATTATGTTGTACAAGATCGAATGCTTTAGAAAAATCGGTATAAATAGTGTGAGTTGAAAATCCGTCTTCAATGCCATCCGAAACATCACTAATGTATTCAACAAGGTTGGAAGAGGTAGATCTGCCAGGAAGAAAACCATGTTGATGAGAATCAATGAACGCTTTTAAGAAAAACAACAATCTTTTTTGAACTAAGGATTCCAACAATTTCCCTAAGGATGACAATATTGATATTGGCCTATAGTTAGCTACATTTTTTGAGTCTCCTTTTTTATGGATAGGTCTAATAAAGGCCGTCTTCCATTTAGTGGGAAAAACACCTTCGCTCAGTGATTTGTTGAATAACAAGAAAAGGGGACTCGCTAATTGTAAAGAACAGTTTTTCATAAAGGTTGGTGGAATGCCGTCAGGTCCAGGACCCTTGTTAGGATCTATGCTACGTAGTGAATTAAGTATGTCAGGCTCGGGTAAAAAAATGGATCCCATAGAAGGACCGGACGTAGAAGAGGAACAAGACGTCATTGAATCGTTTGTAAATGAAGTATCATAAAAGGAATTAAAGTATTCTGAAAAAAGTTTTGAAATCTCTTTACCGCCATGCGCGCTTTGATCATTAAAAATCATATCATCCGGTATATCGCTGCAATCAGATTTAAGGGAATTGACGAATGACCAGAAAAATTTAGGGTCAGACTTTATATGTGATTTGGCATTCTGCTTCATTAACATGAAACATTCTGAGATTAACTTATTACATCGTTCTCTTAATATTTTAAAGGAAAGGAAATCACTGGGGTTAGAGTAAAGTTTATAACGTCGATGGTATTTTGCTTTTTCTTTTAGTGTTCTAATTAAGGATTTACTAAACCAAGGGGGAAAGCGCGTGCCTTTACGTCGTTTTAACGGTGTATATTTTTTGATTATAGGAAAAATAGTATCGTAAAAAACTTCAACCGCATGATCAACCGACAGTTCGGATTTTAGCTTTTCATTCCAATCAACCTTTTCCAAGGCAGCTTTAATGTTTACATAGTCGGCTTTATTGAAGTTTAAAAAAGGCTCGTTACTGACCTTAGGGGGTTTATTTATGACAGATTTAAGAGATATAACGAGCGCAGGGTGATGATTGTCAATTTTAACCAGAGGAGTAGAACAGTTGGAGACGGAGAAAATCTGATATTGGTTAGTAATAATCAGGTCTAAGATACGGTTATTATAATTGACGTGTGAATTAAGTTGATAAAGTCCATGAAAGGCCATATTGTCAACAAAAATATTTTCTACCACAGAATTTGTGGGCAGAGCACTCATGTAATCAGTGCTTGCGTCCAACTGCCATTTCAAATTGGGTAAATTAAAATCCCCTGCTATTAAAATTAAAGACTTTTTTTGAAGTTTATGTTGTAAGATATTTGAAAAATTTGACGTTAAACATTCAAAATCAGTTAATGTAACGGGTGGTGGTAAGTAAAGAGTGCAAATACAAAGGTTACAAGTGGAATTATTTAGGTGGAGTTTAATGGTTAACCAAATATCTTCAAAGTGAGATTCCCATTTTACGTGACGTGTTGACGCATACTTTTTTAAAACGGCTACTAGAACACCCCCTCCCCTACTCTTACTGCTACCAGTTGTATTTCTGTCTCTTCTGAAAATGTTATATCTGCTATCAATTATTTCGTGGTCATAAACGGAATCATCTAGCCAAGTTTCGGTCAACAGTATTATATCCCAGTTATTTCGTAAAACACTTTCAAGTATAGTATCTGTTTTAGATTTCAGACCTCTGACATTTTGATACAGTATCCTAAGATTTGAGGCAAAACAATAAACCATGTAGATTAATAAAGACTAAAGATACAAAAAAAAAAAATACTTAAAATTAATTTAAAAATATGCAAAAAAGTAAGACTATTTATACACTAGAGTGTTTAGAAAAGGGAGATCTTTAACAATAAAGGCCTTGGATTGAATATCTTTGCGCATAAATATCTTTCCACCTTGGACCCAAACAAATTCAAATTGTTTCTCTTTTGCGATGCGGCGAGCGGCAGCATGTATTTTCTTGTTGGCCGGTGTAAGATGTTCACATACATATACTGGTTTTTTGTCACCAGCAAGACCTAAATGCGATGTGTTTAACTTATCGCCTTTGTGGGTTCGGTTAAAACTCTTCACGGCGGTCAATAATTTGTCGCGGGCAAGAACACTACTTAATTTAACTATGATAGAACGAGGTCTATTGGAATCTGAATTAATTTTAGCAACTCGATGGAAATTCGATATCTCCTGTTCCGAAAGAGCACACCCCGTGATTGATGCAACCTGGCTTATAATAGTATGTAAATTCTCGCCCTTACGCTCCGGAACACACTGGATTTCTATATTGCAGTTGCGAGAACGCTGATCCAGATCTTCAAGACGAGACGACAGGACATCTATCTCACTGCGGAGACTAGTGTTTTCTAGCTTAAGCTCATCTAAAGCTTTAGTCTTGGAGATCAAGCTTTCCTCCAATTTATCGCACTTGGAAGACAGGAAGTTCACACTTTCAGTGAGATCCCGTAACCTGTCACAGGTTGCAGCACTTTCTGTGGAAATATCACTTTTGATGTCGGCAAGTAATTTTGCAAGGGAATCCTGAAGTTGTGTATCAAAATGCCGTTTTAAGTCCTGAAGGTCAAATTCCGACGGCTGAGATGGTCCAGGTGAACTCAGGTGAGAAGGGGTCGAGGCAGCAGCGGTTCGTCTGTCGGAACTCTTACATGAACTACATTTCCACGCCACCTTATATGCCTTGGATTCTTTTAGGAAATTATCATGGGAAATCTTCAGGCAATAATAGTGATATGAGCTTGCACAAATTGAGCAGAGTTTATTCTCGTGTAACTTAACGGATTTATCGCAAATCTGACAAACAGTCATCTTTTTAGTGTTGTGGATGCGAGAATTAAAAAAATGTAGTGGCAACACTATGTTCTATGCTCGATGATATGTGACAGCTGTATATAGACAGACTTGACAATGTCATTTGTCAGTACACTGTATTTACGTCATTCAGGGTCAACACAGCTGTTATTATCGTTTTTGTTTACTTAGCATCGAAAATGAGGGTGGATTGAAAAATACCTCGAATGTCACGAATGAAGAAAGCAATCCCGGCTTCCAGAAAGTATCCCAGTTACGGTTCCAAATGTTCAAGGATAACACTAACGCAAAAACTGCTCACTGTGTACTTTATTTTGACAACGTTTTGATGTCTATTAGTAAGTAAATAGCTACTATTGAAATTAATTTAGAAGAGACGAGACAAGTGACGTACGATTTGAAACCGGGGGGTGGGGGAAAAAAACTTGTAATTGAAAAAGTGATAAATTATTTAAATACATCTGTAATCATAAAGCATTAAAATTTAAAAGGGTACAAAATGGCATGCTAAAAAAAAACAAATTATTAAAATTGTAAACTTAAATTTAATTTTTTTAACACACCCGAGAAAAAAATTTTTTTTTTTATGGTTTTTTTTTCCCCCCTTATTAAAAAAAAATAATAAAACCCCCCCCCCCCAAAAAAAAATTATTTTTTTTTTTTTTTTTTTTTTTTTTTCCTATTTTAATAATTATTATATACCTATTATACACTTACAATTAAATTTTTACAACAAAAAAAATATATCCTACCTTAAAAATAAAATTAAAAGTTACATTGTCTTATTGAATAATATTACCTACATATAAAACGAGAGTGGAAACAAAAACTGAACTGACTAGCTCCTCATACGTACCCTGTTCCGTGCCTCTCTTTGAAAAATCGGTGCAGTAGTTCAGAGATTATAAATTTTCAACGGTGTGATAATCTATCCAACACTGTCCAAGACAAATGAATTTTTGGCACTTCTGGCAAATGGTGTTAACTTCTTTCCGAATTTTTTTTAAAGAGCATCGGACACATCTGTTTCTTTTGAATTTGACTCTTTTGTTCTCTACTCTATTCTCTACAGAATTAGAGTGCATCGGAAAGTGGTTAAAACCATCTAAACGGGAAAGTGCAGGCGGAGTCATGACGCGAGGATTTGGGCGCACTTGCACGAGCTGTTTAACCAATTTATGTCTAAATTGCCTGTGGGTGAGGGGGTTATCGCTATTTTGCCAATGTATAATAAAAATATTAAAAATGCTAACATTTATTAGCCGCTCCAATATTTTTAAATACAATTTGACCCCCCTTTCGGGCTCCCTTGAGTACATGGACAGCTTTCGATCCTTTAAATCTACACCGCCCGTGTACTTATTGTAGTCGTGTACAACCACTGGCTTTAGCTGGCCTGCTCTTCTTCCTGGCATCATGTTGGCATTGTGGAAAGTCGACACGGTAGTGACTAATCGAACATCTTTCCAAGATAAGACAGATACGTCACCGCAGTGTCTACTTGTCACTGCTCCTCTTGGAACTTTCTTTTCCAGGGGAGTTTTTATTTCCCCTGGTGTACCGATACTTCGCCTGTTCAAAGTACCAACAACATCAGTCTTGTTAAATTTTAAAAATCGTGCCAAACGAAGAGAGTTGCAAAAATTATCCATAAAAAGACAGTGACCTTTGTGAAGAAATCCTTCCATTAGCCTAAGCACTACCTTGGCACTAGCGCTCGTAAACCCATTCGAGGAGTTCTCTCCAGAGCTCCCTGCCTGAGGATATTCTTTGCCCGTATAGACCTCAAATTTTAAAAGATAGCCTGTTTTAGATTCGCAAAGTTCGTAATATTTAATTCCAAATCGTGCTGCTTTTGAACGGACGCATCGAACCCAATTTAAAGGCCCTTTGTAAAGTAGCAACGACTCATCAATGCAAATTTCTCTGCGAGCCGTGTACATGCTATCAAAAATCACGTTACAATGGTCTATGATGGGCTGTATTTTTGCAACTTTCCTCTTAGACCCACAAATACTTACATTATAATTATTCACGAAGTGCAGGAAACGCATGAGGAGCCAGTATCGTTTTAAACTCATAACTTTATGAAAACCATCACCGATAGCCAGAATTTCTCTATTCCAGTATTCATCTACTCGTTCAGCTACCACGATTGACATAAATATTATGAGCCCAAAAAGCCTATAAAGTTCGTCAGTTGTTGTTTCCACCCAATCGTTTACTCGGGAATTCGCAGAGATCCCATCCACGGATTCGGCAGCCTGCGAAATTTGCTGCCACGCATATTCATTGGTCTGAGCCACAATTAAACTCATTATATTATGATCCCAAACATGAGTGAACAGCTTTAGAGGATCTGTTTCCTCAATGTTAGGGCCACAATTGCTTGCGTTTAAGTATGGCTCAGGCCGACCACGAAATATCTCGTAGTCACAAGACCAGTCGAACGATTCTGCCGGTTTTTCATCCTCAATCTCATCCACAAAATCTTTAGACTTTTCGAGAACAGCCCGCACCTCTTCCGCCGACAAAAATTCGTCCTCACTTTCACTCCCCGAATCGAGCCTTACTTCCTCAGTTAAGGGTCCGAGCATCTAAAATAGTAAGGAGCCGTTAAGAATACTTTATTTAATAATATGACAAATATATAAAACTAGCTGTGTCAGCAACTTCGTCCACGAGATTCGTTATTTTGGGCATCCAAATTCGTTTTTGCAAACCCGTTCATCTTTATTAACTTAAGCTGTTGCCTGCGACGTCGGTCGCGTCTCTTCCCGTTGTTCTTGCAAGTTAACCTTAAAAGGTAGACATAGCATCGCGGACTATTTTTAGACCATTTAAAGAGGAATAATATTTCCATATATATTTTTTGGGTATCTTGAACCGTTTTGATTAGCGCGTTCAAACATACAAACAAACAAACTAACTTTTCATCCTTATATATTCGTACAGATATACAAAAAAAATGTAAGTAGGTACCTCAAAGTCAAATGCATCGACGTCCTCCGATACTTCCATTTGCTCGTTTCGTGATTGCTCCATTATCTACGGTTTTATACAAAAGCTTAGTTTTTATGACAATGTTTGTATGAAGTAGATTTTAATAAGAGACTGAAAACTACAAAAGCCAGCAAATTAGACAAGCGTATTACTTAAATACTGTCTGTAGTTTATTCGAGTAATACACACTTAAATAAAAAACTTTAACGGTTTAAAATGCAATATAAATTACATAGTTAAAATTATTTGTAACTATGGCAAGACGTTTCGGATGCTTTGCAGCAGCCGTGCTTACGGGGACAGCCCGGCTTCTCAAATAAATTTAACTAATATATATCGCGTTTTAAACCGTTAAAGTGTTTTATTCCAAAGCATATTACTTATGCACACGATGCACATTCATTTGAAGGATAGTGGTCGTACACCGTATGACCACACTCGCAGCAAAAATGTCTGGCTTTTAACATGCGGATGAGCATAATCTCATGAGGATTCACATCCGCATGGCATGCACTACTTTGTGCTCGTAAGAAGTGCGTCTCTTCCCACGGCGATTCGCACTCCATAAGATGCAAACATAACAAAAAATCGTTCCTGTGTAGGAACTTATCCACGTTTAGTACCACTACCATAGTAACATAAAATAGAAGCAATTAGTAAACATGCATATAATTATAAAAAAGTAATCCTAGGAAAAAGGAAAAAAATGTTGAAGTTATTGTTATAAACAAATACTATAAAGTCAAAGGAAACCATGTATTTATGCATATATATATATATATATATATATATATATATAATATATATATATATATATGTGTGTGTGTGTGTGTGTGAAAAGATACATACATATATAGATTTTTGATTGAAAAATCTGGCATAAGTCATTGGTTCGAGCTACAGTACGGAACGCTGGTAATACCGGGTTCTTAATCCGCCCGTGTCGTAAAATGGCCGATTCTCCAATCTATGGCCGATTTTTAATTTTTATAATGCCATCACGATCAATAACATGTGAATAACATTAAAATTTTCAAATATAATATATTTTAACACAACTCTCAATTATAACAAGCAAGGCAAAATCGTTTTATAATAAATAACATTTTAGTCATAACGACTAGGTAAAACTCAACGTATTTGAAATATAAACAATTTTGAGGACTCTGCTTTTGCAACATCTGGCCCGTGTAAGAACAATACTCAAAAATGAACATGTGTGCGTGGGGTTGTTTTGGGATTAGAAAGTTCTAAATATTTTTTAATTCTTTACAAACAAACCCATCTAAATCTTTTACAGTTACAATAACCGTTCAAAAGCTGATATAATCCTGTTTAATTATATAAACAAATGACATTTTAGCACGATCAATGCAAAGATAAATCCATATGAAAGTCTAAATTGTTAACCGAAAAGTTACGAAAAGACATGTCGTATGTAATTAATTATTATTATTTTTATTCTTTGTATAAGTTTTATATAATATGAACAATAAGTAAAATAGATAAAATTGGTACAAATACTTACAGATATTTAGTGATAGACTCCTTTTCTAATGTCACAAATTGGGATGTGTTCACTCTCGCACGCGCCACCAAAATAAGCCAGTTCATATATATTTTTCCTATTTTATAAACATTCAATAATGGCCTCTCAAGACACATTAACTCTTAAGATTTTGGATACAAAAGAAAGCAGACCCAAAATATACAAAAATTAAAATTCAAAATCCCTTTTAAAAACCATATGACGTTTCGACTCAGGTAGTTCACATCCAAGGCACGTAAGGGTAAAAAAATTTCGAGCGTAGATCTAAGTACGTCTTAGCCCAGAGTCCCCCAAACATTTTTGTGTCATAAATCTCTTGCCATGTTTTTCCGTGTTGGGTAGACCCTTACTTACCTGATATTCATTTCTTGTAAATTTCTAACTGTAGTGAAGTTTAGTGTTAAAAAATTAAAGTAAAATTACTTGATATTTTATACATTTATTAATTTATTTTATATTAAAAGTATTGCAAAATTTATTATTTTTTACATGTTATTGCCCATGAAGGCACTGTATGATTTAAAAATCGAAAATAAATTGAAAAAATGTTCGACTCGGGCAGGACTTGAAATTTTACAAGTTCAAAATGTATTGCGACGTAAGTAAATAGGCACTATCCGTGTGTGTTGAGATCCACTATAATGGACTATAAAGACCACTTTGGGAATCATTGTCTTAACCAGACGAGAAGTGATCCTAATTCCATGTCAATGGAATGGTTAAAGAAAACGTTACTAAAAAAACAGTACGGGATACATATTTTTAAAAGTATATAATACTTGTAAACTTCAAGAACTATGTCGATTAAAGACCGACTATGCAAACTTTTAGCTTAGTATTTGGTCTGCAACCCGTATTTTATAAATAATACCTTATTTATAATTTATTTTATTCATAATTTTCCTATACTTTTTACAGATACAGACTATATTATGCAGATTCGACAAATCACGTATAGAATAAAATATGTATATTTGACAGTTGACCTGTTTCTACGAGCAATGTGTCATTGTGTTCTTAAAACATCTCTTTGTAATTGAAAGTCTAACGTGCTTGTCCTCTTCGAGCTAAGGCCTTCAGGCGACTTGCACTATTATTTTATAAAAATGGCATCAAAAGCTGAATTAGCTTGTGTTTACTCTGCTCTCATTCTAGTGGATGACGATGTAGCCGTAACTGTAAGTTATAATGAAAATTTGTTTATTTATAAGAATATTCATAGGTTATAAAATAGTTATCCCGTTTCATCCTTTTACGTATATGCTTAAAATTAGTGAAACTTTAATAGATAAACTTACAAAGTTATTGGCAGATATGGGTATGTTATATTTTGTAGTTTACAAACCAAGTTGATACTGAACATGTTTTTGTAGGGTGAAAAAATTTCAACCATCTTAAAAGCGGCTAATGTCGATGTGGAGCCTTACTGGCCTGGTTTGTTTGCTAAAGCCCTGGAGGGTGTAAACGTACGTGATTTGATAACCAACATCGGATCTGGCGTTGGTGCCGCACCAGCAGCCGGTGGTGCGCCGGCGGCTGCAGCTGCAGCCCCCGCGGCTGAAGCTGCTAAGGAAGAAAAGAAGAAGGAGGAAGAACCTGAAGAGTCAGACGACGACATGGGCTTCGGTATGTATTTACAATAATTACTATTTTAGTTTAATAATTTAAAGATAACGTTATGAACATTTTGTACACATGGAGTTTACATTACATACACAGTACAATTGTTGGAAAACTTTATCTTTTGATGTTGAAAACTTAAATTATATCTAAACCTCATCCTCTAGAAAATTATATGATGTCTGCATGTATTAGCTTCGGAGATAAATGACCGATAAATTTTTACTGATCAATACTTTAAAATGTCAACTTGTTTTATAATATGAACATACAATAACATGTTTTTTATTTGTTTCAGGTCTCTTTGACTAAAAAGCTTTATGAAGTTTTTATTCCATAACAAAGCTTAGACTTAAGAAAAATAATTTTAATATAAAATTAAAATTGTCCACTTTGTTTTATTACCAGGTATAAAAATAAAAATAAGTTTTTTAGTCAGAAAACAATAATATTCTTAATAACTACGCTTTCAGTTTGAGGCATAATAATTATCCTTTACAAAATTATTAAAACGCCTAAGAGACCCTGACTAAATAAATTAAAAAAATAAATAGAAATAATTATTACATGAGCCTAATGTCTTAAGATCAAGGGAGACTCTCTCATGGTCATGATTATAAATATTATAGCACTTTTATGTTATAAATAAATTTTACCATGTAATCTTTTATGTGGTCTTCAATTATTCAAATGGTAGACACTAATCCTTAATTGCAATATTTTAAAAGGTCTAAAATAAAGAAGCGTTGTGGCGTAAATTTTATTCAACTAAGTTATATATTTTAGCACTAAACCTAACCCCACATTGCGCGCTGTACTCCTGAGAGTTTGTTATAATCGGCAAGATGTCTCCACACAATGCGGCTTAACCTCCATTCTTTTACAATACCCCTTGGCCTAAAAAAAATAAATCAATAACTTATATGTATGAGGGATGGGTCATGTGAAAATTTATATTGTCTGAGTTCAGAGGTTAGGTTTGGGTTTACTCATAAATACCTGGATGTAACAGAGCATCTATTGTTAATTCTAAGTGGAGTTGCATTTAATTCAAATTTGTTTATTTCTTTGTCAGCAATCTCTCTAATTTCAATTGGTAATACAGTGTTCTTTCTAAGGGCATTAATTCTAGTTCTCTCCAAAAAATTTTCGCCATTTAAACGCCTTCTCTTTACATCCCTTATCATCCAACGATTAGCCCATTTGTTGCGTAATTGTTGGAACTGAAATAGAATTTCAATATAATTATTTTAATGTTTTTTACATTACAGTTAAATGAAATATATAGTAATTAAATATCTTTTTTATACCCCAAAACCAGGAACATTTTGTGATTTCCATATAAAATTTCCAATGTTGGCTATCCCACATATATTCATGTTTATGTTATTAAATGTTAAGTTTTAATAAATATCGGTAAATTTATATCACCTAACACAAGAAATTAAACCAAATAGTAACCCACCGGTACCTATAACAATTGACAATATTTGTCACAGACTAACGTTGTGTACGAGAAAAAGAATTGCAAAGATATCTGTGACCAGACTTACAGAGCAAAGCCATGAACAACTTTTGGGACAAATATATTTCTGTCTGTGGAAACTTTTGTCATAGTATAATCATAATATTAAATACCTATATCCGTTGATTTAAAACTTGATTCTACGGAAGTTTGATGGAAGTGTAATTAAAGAAGTAATATTGTTTTTACTTTCGAGATAATTACAAACGCTACATCAAAGCATTTAACTGAGTTGAGTATTAATACCTATTTACTTTTACACTATCTTATTTTCATTTCATTAAAGACTAAGTTTACAGCAAAGAAGCAGGACTATTTTGTCCCGACAAATTAACTTCGTATCCGTGTTTATAATTTCATATATCTTTGGCAATGAGCTTAAAGAGAGCTTCCCAGATAGCTAAAGAAACCAGAGAAAGTAGTGGACTCAAAAAAGCTTAGAACTGAGAAGGATGATATAGCTTCTTCATATTTGTCAGAAGTTTTAGAAGAAAGTGGATTAATTTTAAATAGTCCGCCTATTAAATGTACAACTACGTTAGAGACGGTGCATCTAATAAGAAATATTAAGAAAAATTTACAGAAACATTCAGATTACCCCACCAATGTATCAGAGTTTTTTAAAAATATACAAAAGCAGTGCCAGAACTGGGATGTATTTAAACACTATTTGTATCCAAACATAGTGAAGACAACTATTGATAATAATGAGCTCATTGTAAATGACAGTGTAATGAAAATTCTATTAAGTGTACCTATTTTACAAACTAAATTAATGGATTTTATATTTGATAAAGCTATAGATTTAGCAACAGAGTCAAAATGTGGACTGTGGATACAAGCTGTCTTGAAATGTTTTGCAACATTGGATAACTTAATTGATACTGAAAAAATGTCTACTAACCTCATAAATTTATTAGACATAGCCTCAGAAAAATTTGTCCGTCTAGAAATAATAACGGCTATTCCTGATATAATAGGAGATCAAGAGCATGATAATGTTGCTGTAGAAATGAGTAGGATCCTCTCTGAGGATCATGAGTTAATTCCAGCTATTTTAGATTGTTTGTCTTACTTATGTCTCTCGGACGAACAGTATGAAAAACTGCAGAAAAAGACAATTAACATTTTAATGAGTTTATCAAAATGCAATTATTTTCCAAATTTTGTTAAATTTCTTCTTATGCCCAGAGGTATGACTGACTGCAAATATTTAGAAGTAATTAATGATCTCAGGAATGCTTTAGGCTGGTCTACATCGTTTGGGAACCCTCAAGATATTGCATCGAGTCAAGTACTTACAGCTACGGCTATAAGAAATTCTATGGTTTCTTCTAAAGTTGTTAGTAATGCTTGGATGAAAGTTGTTTCTAACTGTAAGGAAAGTTGTGAACAAAAACCTATTGATATTATTATAATGTTAATTTTGTATACAACATCGGAAGAAAAACAGAAACAGGTAGAACTTCTACTAATGAAGCAGATTAAAAATAATGTTTTAAAAGAAGATTTATTAGTAGCTACTTTTAAAACATTTAAACCAATATTGGAAGTCAATTTGAGATCATTAATTATTTTAACTAACAGTCTCCTAAAAGCAAAATCAAATTTAGAAATTCAAGAGTTTGCCACATACATGTATACTCAAATGTTTTCTACATTAGAAGAATGTTGCCAGACAATTATTGCAGAGCTACTTCAGCTTTGCTCAGATTGCAAGCATTGTGTAATGAATATATTAACTATCTTGAATAATGTAGCAGAGAAAAATGTCACGATATTAAAGCCTCAATATTTACAAATGTTGATGTTGCTAGATAGAATGGATGATATGAACATATTTGAAAAACGTGCAGTTTTAAATTTACTTTGTTGTCTAGCATATACCTGTGAAAACTCAGCAATCAGGGATGATGTCCACATGATTATTAGAAAAGAATTAGGAAGTTCAAATCCAACTATTAAAGTTCAAGGTGTAATAGCTGGCATATATGCAGTCAAATATCTTATGGCTGGTAAAAATGGTGAAGACACTTCATTACATTTATCAAATGATGTTAGCTTCAGTTCTGTGGATCAATTTCGCGAAGGAGACCTAAGGGAGGCAGCTCAAATAGTTGAGCTAATAAGTAGAAGTACAAGACAGTTTCCCGATATGATTGTTCTCTTTTATGATGAACTTTCCAAATTATTTGAGCGTCCTATAGCTATAAACAAAAATTTTTTAGTTTGGCTTACTGATGCCGTCACAAATGATTTACAACAAAACTTTATTGTAGACGATATTGAAGACCGACAATTTGGTAATATAAAATTATCAATGCAATTTTGTCTTAATAGTGACAGTGAGATTGATGAAGTCACAGCCATTAATATTGGAGGATTAATATGGAAATGTAGCAATGATATTAATATATGTTTACTTTCACCATTATTTCAACTTGTACAGGTATTACATTTAAGGCAACATGATGGTAATCTGTCCAGTGTTGACGTACTTTTGGGTTGCGCCGTTGTCATGCCGATTTGTGATATTGATGAGATTAAGGACAAGGACATAGATGACATAAGGTTTATACTGGACTGTTTTGTTTACTGTATTAATTGGTTTCGTGAATTAATTAATGCATTTGCGTCCCAGAATGATCCTCATCTGCATGCTAAGATTTTTAAAAGGATTTTACAAGTGCAGCAATTAGAATCTTTAGTTGAACGAATTCTGCTTACTACGAATATTACATATAAGATACCTTCCAATACGTTAAATATAAGCAAAGATGATAAAATAATACCTAAAGTACAAAGCAATAAACTAAAGAATTCAAGTAACGATGAATCTATCCTCCCCGAAACGGGTAGAACTCAAGGAACACAAAATAGCAAATCCCTTAAATCCAAAACAGATTTCGCTGCTACTGTATGTTATAGGCCTCTATCTTTAAATGTAACAAAATTGTTAAATCATGCTTTATCAAATTGTGAGGAAATAGATGACATCAGTCCAGCGCTAACTATCGAGGGTTTTAAATATATAATACGAAATATTTGCTTCACCGTTGAACCAATTTTAATTTCAAAGTTAAAACAAAAAACGTTTTTTAATAAGAACGATACTAACACTATTTACGATAAAAGTAAAGCTGGTGATTATGCTAAATGCATTTATGAAAGTTTACCTCACCTAATGGGTCATTTTAAATGTATCATATCAGAAATTGAAATACTTAGTGATAGTGCTAGTCAAAATGAAAGTGAATTTATTTATAATTCGAAAACAGACGACCTACTTGTTTCATTAGAAAACATTTATAATTTGCTTGCTGTTTATTTTAAATGGATTGGATTTAAAAGCGATATTGCCCTATTAAAAACATCTCTACGCATTATAAATCCAATGGCAGGTGATAGTTCTTTAGCATTCAAAGATTTGTTAGTTGCGGTCGTAAAATGTTTCCAGCAATATGAAAAGTATTGTTTGCAACTATCAACTGCTGTATCCTTTATAGAACTTTTAAAGTCACTACAAGGATATTCGTCGAGCAGAGAAATTCATATTATTTTAAAAGATACTGCGAATAACTTTTTATCTAAGCAGTGGAAAGCTCCAAATGGTGCATTAGAGAGAGGGTTATTGTTTAATAAGAGCATTGATAGTCTTGCAAAAATATATTTACTAAGCAATGAAGTATTAGAATTGAAAAACATAGCACTTTCATTATTAAGGGACATAGATACATTAAAAAACAGAAATAATTCGTTAAACTCTTTTAAATCTATAAACAAATCTAACTTCCCAGTATTTTATAGAAATTTAGGGACAGCCTTGCACGAAATAACTAAACTTAACTTAAATAAAAGGCTCACTAATGAAGAACATTTAGACTTATGGAAAGACGTTACGTATATTTTAAAATGCATGTCTGATATGGCAAAAAGTTTGGACAGTAGAAGTTATTTGTCATCGTTTTTCAAAAAATCCCTCCCCACTATCAAGCTATTTTTGTCACATGGAATACCAATTATAGAGTTACAATTCAAGAGTCAAACTCAGGAGGCGTTGGAAATATTAAAAACGCTTCAGCAAACAACCAGGTTTTTACAGTCGCTTTGCTGTCATTCTCGATTGAAAAAAGATAGCGTACTAATGAGTAAAGTTCCTTCCATGAGACAACTACTGGAAACTCTAATATACAAAGTAAAAGCTGCATTGACTGCTAATAACTGTTCAGAGGCTTTTTGGATGGGAAATCTTAAAAATAAGAATATTCATGGTGAAGTTATCACGTCGCAACAAAGTGAGGAGGAATACTCTGTTGAAGATTGTGATGATCAATTACCGGAAGACGACAGCGATGAGACAGATGATGAAATGATGACTCCAGACACAAAAGGTTTAAGTGATATAGTTTAAAACTAAAATTATAATATATGGTTGAGTTATACATTCAAACAACTTGTTTTAATTAGATTATCATTCTCAAGTCATTTGTGTGTAAAGACATGTTGTAAGAAAAAATTATACCTTCTCCGTAACTTAGATGGAATGTCAATATTGCAGAGCAGATTTTTACCAGGAATGACTTAACCGTTTTATAATAGAAGAATTGATATTCATAGCTGTATTTTGCTTTGATTTTTTATTTAGTTTCAATTATAAGGTAGATTTAACAAAACAGGTTATTTATCAACAAGCAATAAAAAAAAAACAGTATATGTTCTATAAATTATTATTAATAAAATCTATTTCAATAAAGACATAACAGTTAAAAACGCGGAATATATGAATTACTAGTAATTCCTTTTAAGGAATAAAGGAAATCGCAGTCATTGTGATGCTCGTTATTAAAAATAACAGTTGCAGTAGTTGTGCTAGCTATTAGATATTTGTTTTTTAATTAAGTATTTTAATTATTAGCAACCTAACTCCAATAACGAAAATATTAAAAAAGCAAAGTACATTAGCAATAAGTGCTTTACAATAAATTTATTAAAGAAATATTAATTATCTATATAAATTAACTTAAAATTAAATACAATCTTGCATTTAAATAATATAAAAAACAAACAAAGGTACCATTGTATCGTACTTAATTATAATAACTGTGTCAGAGTATAGAGTGAGATCATATTATAAAATTAAATTCTTAAAAATTGCACTTTAAAGATCCCATGAAAATAAATGGTGCTTTACTAACATGTCCCTTACCCCTTCTTTTAAGGGCTGATTTTGGGTATCTTTTTTAAGTGGCAGCTCCCAATCTGGGTTTAAATTGAAACCGAACTGAGATAAGATTCGTAGTTCGCATTTAATTTGCACCCAGCCAGGCGAATTAATGAATGACCATGGATGGTACCACTTTTGGACCACATCAACACATGAACAGAGAACTTCAAGCCATAGATGCAAAGCTTCTTCATTCAGTCCCATGCAAATAAGTGTCCTCAGTTTCACGTCCATCTGTGCATGCGCATTGTCGTGGGACAAATTTATAGCTTGAACACATCTATACAATAATTCTTCAGGCGTCAAAACTTTCCCATCCTCATCTAATCTATAGGTTTTACACAAAACTAGGCGGCTATAAACAGAATTGAAATCTTTTTCAACTTCTCTCGAAGATGCTTCTTCTATAAATAGCCATGGATGGCAAGGACCATCTAGAAAGCTTGGCTTTTTAATGCCATGCAATAAAACTCTCTTAAAGGCTGGCGCAAGTACTCCTCTTACTAAATGGGCTGCTTTTTCTGTGACTGAGTCATCTCCAGCACGACTGTACTTCACTCCTTTCTCATCTAACAATTTAACAAATCTGGCGGGAAACCAGCCTCGTAAGCCATTTAACTCTCCAATCCAACAATGTTCATCTCGTGAACTAATAACTTCAATTACGTCATTTTTTCTAAAACCTAGTTCGTCTCCATCTCTCCTTTCAAAATCTAACAATGCTTTAGCTCTCCTCCTTTTACTCCTCGATACATTCACATATCTTTCTCTATCTGCTGCATGGCTTTGCATAGTATAGTCTGCAGTAAGTTGAACTTCAGATGTTAACTGAGGTTCTAAAGTTAAAAAATGTCTAGCAACTTGTAGTATAGCTTCTCTGAGATCTACTAGTATTTCTGTCTGTTTTACATTTTTAGATACCGCATCTTCATTGTTAGTATCATCACCAAATAGGATGGATTGTATAACTGATTTGCTTCTTTTTATTTGTCTTCTTTGAAGTTGTTGCTTTGGTAGGTTTGGCACAGCGCTCGGATTTCCAACTAGCGCTCCCTGATCAGCCATGAGATAAGCCAAATGTCTTCGTCTATGGGTCTCTATTAAAGCTGGACTTAATGTTTCTCCACACACATCATCAATGGTTTTAATCAAAACATCTACATCGTCAATTTCCCCAGGTATGTCTGACAATGCATTAAATATTTGGGCTGAATTGGAAATTTCAGTAAATCTATTTTCTTTTATTTTCAACATTGCAAGTGTAACTTTAAACAGAACAATAGAGCCATCAAGAAAAAAAAGATCCCAAATTCTTAATAATATTTTCATATGGACAACATTGGCATATAATGTCAAGAACCAGTGCATTGTTATAAGGGACAGTTCAATGTCATGTGCATTTAATACCTGGTCTATTCCTGGCAGATAAGATGATATGAGACTTCGGAGAACTTTCTGATCAGCTTGTATTCCGATTAATGTGGAGGAATAATAAGAAGCTGGCAACAGGTCCTCCACTGTGGTACACATTATCCAAAAAGCTTCTTCTTCTTCCATAAGAAGTAAAAGTGATGCAGCAATCATTCCAGTTCCTTGACAATAACCGATATCTGGATATAACCAAGCAAGTGCTCTTAAAATCCTCCTTAACCGTGGCACACCAGTACTAGTTGGATGTGAAAAACAAACATTATTTGGTAAAATCTGAACTAAGTCTTTCTCTATTTGTTTACTTGTAACTAATCCATCATCACTTGATGCTCTCACAATTTCGTGATATGTTATTTCAGTAGTTGCTCGTTTTCTATTAGCTCCACACAAGTGCATCCAAACCTGCGGTCTAAGAGAATGTGGTATACCATCTTTTACCATATTTTGTAACTTGTCACTCTTGTGAGTTTTACTTTCTTCTTCAGAGAAATTAATCTCTTTACTGTAGAATTCCCATTGAAGTCTATGCTGATCATCTTCTATGAATGCTGCAGAAAGTAATTTGGTAGAACTCGGTTCGGGTTCGTCCTCCTCATCAACACAAAATCCGAATTCATCAAATCTATAGTTGGGAAGACCACCGTGACCTTCTGACTCGGGCTGTGCAAGTTTTGCCATGATATCTTGTGGAACCATACTAGGTGTTAGGGCGGAAAATGGTCCTCCAGGCGCGGGCAAAAGTTCGTCAGCAACGTTCATTCCACGAATAGCATCTATCACATCTTCTGGGTCATCATCTGCTAGGGCAGCGCTAATCTTACGTTCGTGTTCTTTACGACCGACGTATCCGACATGATCTCGTGAACTAAACAGAGATTTTGCAATATCCATTTTCACTGAAGAAAATTGCAACATAAAAACCCACACGCAATATATTGAATGTGCACTTTCTATTGTAGCATTGAATTCATATTAAATCTTAGTAGGTATAGAAAGTATTTTGACAGCAACAAAACACTACAGTGATGTTATTGACGTTCATATAGTGACAGATTGGAAATCTGCAATTATCAAGTTGACACACCACGCATCAAAAGATATTTTGTTAATAACAAGAACAGCTGTTTTTATATTTAAAAAAGAACTATTAATTTGGAATTAAACTACTTGTAATAAAGGGTTAAGTTATGGAAACATCAAACAACTGTGATATATAACAAAAATCTTATTAAACTTAGCTAATTGTATAATCTATGTAGATAACTTATTTGACAGTATAATTTACTCTGTAAAAATATGTGTATATCTGTAGCAAAAGACCATATAGTGAATGTATATATGCGGTAATAATATGAACATCATAACATTTGGAATTACTTAAACTTCCTAAATACTTTTAATATATATTTCGTTCTAAATTATTGAAGGTTTTTGTGCATATGTGATATTAATAGTAAAACATTCATAAAACAATTCCTATTACGCATGATCTTATAAGTACATGCATGTACAGATTATGTCGGCATTGTCAGATTGCATCATTATTTTTAAGTGCTATTGTGTTAAATAGGATAAAATAATCTTATTTGAGAATAATAAGGTTTGTATGTTTGTATTTAAGTCAGTTTGTATCGCAAAGCAGTTTTGGGCGCTTAAAATGTGCATCTATAACTCAAAAGTATAGGTTGGTGTTTGGGTAGTTTCCTAATACTACCGGGTTCTTATAATGTCAGAAATATGACGGAGAAGAGATGTTGTATAGACCAATGCTTTTCCTCAACTTCAAGAAAAGAAGATATTGGAGTTACATATCACAAATATCCTAAAAACGTTAATTTATTCAATTCTTGGATTCAAGCAACTCATGTTGCACCTGTTATTGATAATTCTGGATTTGTGTGTTCAAGGCATTTTCGTAAAAGTGACTTTCGAATATACCAGGAATCAAAATATGTTCTTAAAACAGGTACCATTTAATGACAGTATGTACTTTATATCCACTTGTAGCTCATATCAATAGGGCATATTTCATGAACTTCTGTATTGCTTTTCTAATGCATTTTAATGTTTTTTTTAATGTTTTTTTTATTTTTTTTTTTTACAAATTAAGTACATTGTTTTCATAGTGCATGTTCATGTAAGTCATATTTAGGAAGTCCATGCTGTTAAAATGTACCTATGATATAGTTCCTCATTATATAGAAATGTAAAATGATCTTTAATTGATTTATCCCTTTTTGTTTGATTTTTGAAAGACAAGGAGCAATATTAAGGTGATTTAAAACATGTTTCTATGTCAAAAAAAAAAATGTGAAATAGAATATTATTGTTTAATTTAGAATTCATGCTAAAAATTTATTTTATTTTGACATTTTAATCATATTGACCGCCTCTGTAAATAAATGTTTAAATGTGTTGCCTAGCAATGGGTTAAATGCAATAGGCCCCGGTTTGAATCCCCGGGAAACAATAAATTGTTTTAGTTTGGCAGGGCAAAGAAATCTGATCAACTACTTGCCTGTAAATAAAAATCGATCAGAGAAACGAACACAGACACATGTTCGTCCTATGCCCCACAAGGGGAAACGGGATTTTACACATACAAAAGAGTCATATTTAGACTTGGTATAATTTGCATGTTTTTGTTTTGCATACATATTTTCGTATGTATGCTTGACTACATATTCCAACACATATAAAATTATATGTGTAACAACCTCATAGGCTTTTTCAACAAAAACTGTCTTGAAATGGCCTGTTGACATCTACACCAATAACCTTTTCTATATCGTTGGATCAGCATTGCTAAGTCTGTGAATGCTTCTTTTTCTGTTGTATTTAGAAGTAGTTCAGTAATTTTTTTTTGCTAGCTAGTCCTTTTTTCTAAGCCAGATCTGTATCAGCGTCCATATTTAATGTGTTATTTTATTCTTTTAATTTATTTTTAACAAATTGTCAATGATGTCTAAAATCTTTTAAATTTTAGACGCTACACCATCTATTTTTCCTTGGACCATGACTGATTCCCAAAGCATACTACCTCCTGAAGATTGTCATAGAGAAATTGAGATGTCTGAACGCAATATGGGGTCTGAGCCCAAAAAGTTGGATATGGACTTGAGTAATGATGATCAACTCCTAGATCCTGTCACTTCAGAGGAGTTTGCTAATATGAGTGTAAAGGCCTTAGATGTAATTCATAAGTCTCAGGAAATGCCTGTGCCAATAGCACCAAATGTTATGGATTTCATTCTAAATAAATCTTACGATAAAACAACTAATGGACACCAAAACGCAGAGGTCAAATCCTCTTTGCCACAAGGTGATAAAGGTAAACATTGTTATTTTATTTAACAATGAATGATTTTACATAGAATAAAGAAATGGTAAATTTTAAAGTTTTGGGTTAAAATAAAAACTGTTTAAATCAGGTAATTAGCTGTTTCTGTTAAGCATTTTCTATGTACGGCTTGACATTTTGGATGCTTTGCAGTAGCCGTCTCTGAGGGAAAAAAAAGTTTTTAGAAAAATATTTTTTTTACACAAATCTAATTTTGATCTGGAAACCATTTTAAATGAATAATACCTATGCAGGGTACTCAGCTCTTAAGTTAAATATTTCACATCTCTTATATTTAATGCATTATCTAAAAACCAGAGGATTTTAAATAATATTTTTTGTAAGACTAATTAATTAAGATTAATTTTCCACTCGTTTATTGTTCAGGGGCCGTTGCTCTGACTATTGGTTCGAAAGTTGAAGCCAAAGACTTTAGCTGCCAATGGCACACTGCTACTATCAGTGAAGTAGATTATGATGAAATGGAAGTCTTGGTCCATTTTGAGGAGTCAAAAAATATGTATGTTTTCTCTTTTGTAAACCTTGTTTATGTGGCATATAAGCTCGATACAGATATAATTAAAAAGTTTGAATAAGGACTGCATTGTTTTAATCTAGGCTATTTATGTCATATATAAAACCTTTAAATAAAACACTAACGGTTTAAAATGCGATATATTTAAGTTTAAGTTAAATTTATTTGAAAATTATTTTTAACTTCGGCCCGACGTTTCGGATTCTGTGCACATTTTCAAATAAGTTGAACTAATATGTCGCGTTGTAAACCGTTAAAGTGTTTTATTTAAATGTGTACTACTCGCGTAAACTATAGACTGTATATATAAAACCTTTTTTTTAAAAATGGTTTTGATTAAAGATTGAATTTGGAATCTCAGTTTTTTTTGTGTCAAATTGCATTTAAGTTGAAATTATATAATTTTAAAACTAGTTGGTATCTTTAACGTAAAAAATAAAACCATAATATAATTTTTAGGCACGACGAATGGATCAGTGTTAGTAGTTCAAGGCTGCGCCCGTATAATCCAAGCCGAATTTCTCAAGTGTCAAGTGCAGACATGCCTCCAAAGCATGTGAATAATGAGGATAAAAAGCTAGATGAAAGGAAGGCCAGTTTTCAAGAAGGAGAGAGATGTCTAGCTCGATGGCGAGATAATAGGCGATTCATGGCTACTGTTCACAAAGTATTGGCCGATGGTAAGTGCTAAGAAAAAATTGCATTTAGTACAGGACTTTTAAGTAAGATTTAGTTTGTTCTTATGACGTTGTTTAAATAAAATATGAACTTAAATATTTTTAATTTATCTATGGCGGCAGCAACATAATTTCCTTTTAAGTTTATCTTACGCGACAAATAGCCGTGAAATACAATATCTATACTAATGTTATAAAACGAAAGAGTTTGTTTGTTTGAACGCGCTTAGCTCAGGAACTACTGGTTCGAAAATGTCCTTGACTATTATGTCTTCTTTTAAGATTACCTCGCAAGACCGATGAGTCGCAGACGACGTAGTATGTAACGGCTGTAATTTATCGGGTTGTTTGCAAAAATAAACAATTTGATGCCCAAAGTAACTCTTATTCCACGCGGGCGAAGTCACGGGCACAGTTAATAATAGCTACTTAGGTTGTGCGTACCCCGACTAAGCGAAGACCGATTCACTCAAATTCGAGTTTCGGTTTAGCCGAGAAATCCGAAAAAAAAATTAATAACAATATACTTAAAATGATTTTGGTAAGTGTGAAAACAATGTTACAATCGGACATGGTCTTTTTAGGTCAATATGAAATAATTTTTGACGACGGTTTTCACTGGAAATGTTCCACGGCGAGGTTGAGCAAAGCGAAAGATTCTTCTGGAAAGTCCTTTGATGCCCTTTCCATAGATACGTCGATGTCACCGCATACTTCAGCCTTATCCCCCCTGGCTCCCGGAATGGGGCCCTTAGGAACACCAAGTCCACTCGGAACCCAAAAGTATGACACGCACTTGTTCGATCCCACTAGAGATTACTTGGGGTCAAAAAGTGAGCGACGTGAAATGAAACGAAAATTAAATATTAAAGAAATTTTCAATATCGGCCAGAAAAAACGTAAGATAAAACAAGATGATGGTGCGACTAAGGAAAAGGTGAAGGTACTACGGAAGTCTGTTATCAAAAGCGAGCCAGAAACAGACGTAAAAGAAGTGCCAGGTAATTACTATTTAAGCTATTTTCTAAGAATGTATGAGGAAAAATTAAAAGGAAGTGTACGTCATATTTACTTTTAAATCTGATAGATGCAGTTGCTTCAATAATTGGTACGTTTGATGAGAAAGCGATAAAGCTAGAGAACTCTCAGGCCAACGAAGACAAACATGTTAAAGAAGACAGTGATAAAATAACGCTAAATGATCTCCTTGGATCTGAAAATCTAGCACAGGCATCGACACTTTCAGAGATTTCAGATTCTGATCTAAACAGTAGCACGGATTCGGTAAGTTCGTAATTTATTGTATAATGTTAAATATAGGTATAGGGTTAAAATCTGATGAGAGTATTTTTTGATATTACATCTTGGAAGGAATCTTTTTTAAATTTAAATTCATAGTTTCAGGTGACTAAAGAAGAGGAAATGCTGGAGAAGTTTGATAAACCGGATGAAGGTAAACATGAAGAAGTCATTGATAAAATGAAAGAAGTAATAAGTAAACTAGAAGGAGGCTTAAGTGAAATCGAGGCAGTTGTAAAGAAAAAACCACCATCTCCAGACATAGGTCTAGAGGTAATTCAGGTTGATCCGAATGCGTTGGACATTGATGAAGTAGAAGAAACTGTAAAAATGAAAGTTGAAGCTCAATCCGAGAATGAAACTCTTACACAGGAAGTTAGTAGTACGAGTAGTAATACTGTGGTAAAGACGGAGAAGCCAAAGAAAGCAATATCAAAAGTGAAAAAGGGGAAGAAGATGAGGTTGTTACAAGACAAGAAGGTTAAGAAACAGGTGGAAAGAGTAAAAAATGAATTAGAAGAGATGAAGAGGCAAGTTGCCGAAATGCGTAAACAAATGCTGCAGAAGACCGAAGCCCTAGCGATTCAGAAGAAGCAGCAGCATATGCCGGTATGTTTAAGGTTCATATGAAGTTAATATATATGAAAATATCATCGGCCAATAGTAAAATGTGTCGAATAGGAGAGGTTCCGGATTTGAATCCTATGCAAATAGAGAACTATAGTGTTTGTCAGAGCATGGAATCAATCCTTTACTTTCTTGTAGATAACCTTGATCACTATTGAGTTCATTTTTTATATTTATTTAAAAGAAAAAACACAATACACATAGATTATTAAAAGACAGATCACAAACCCATTTGGGTTTCATTTGAGTTAATAAGTTTGCATCATGCTTTGGTTGAGTTAACAACAACATCCTTGTTGTTCGTGGGGCAAACACCTCAATCTGCCAGTAGTCGATGATTGTTTTGTGCCCTTCCCAACCAAAACAATTTGTTTACTTGGAGTTTGAATCTAGACCTATCTGTGTTAACGCCAACGCAATGCCAGACAGGACTTTAAAATTAAAAAAAAAAAAAAAAAATTAATAAATAAATTAAATAATGTAAAACTTTGTTCATCTTTGTGAATAAATGATGCTTCTGCATGTAGCAAGAGATGCCCGAGAGTTTCCTGTTGCCGGGCGAATGGTGTTGTCGTTGGGTCAATGGAGAGCCGGTTGGCGAAGTGCACGAGACGGAGACGGAACCGAAGTTTGATGCCAACAACAAGCCAGCGCTGCCTCGCCGTACCGTTTTGGTAAAAAGACCGAAATATTTGAAACTTAGTTACTAGATAGGGTTCGGGTAGATTGGGATTATGTGGTTGGTACTAAGCGTTGTAGGTAGTAGTCGCGTAAACTTTAGACAATGTTAATTATTGAGTTGTATCTGGTATCGGTTAACAAGGCAAGTAGTACACATACATTTTTCGCGCCATGTAAGGCTTGAGACAGACATATTTCTGTATCTGTTTTGCGGTATAACTTTAGTTCGACCCAGTAGCTTTTTAAGTAGCTTAAAGTGATTACAATAATTACTCGGTACATATTTAATTCTAAGGTTGAGGACAAGCGGCTACCAGAGGGCTGGAAAAAGATCATGGTTCGCAGAAGCTTGGGACTGTCTGCTGGGAAATGGGATGTAGTTTTAGTGAGGTAAGTTTTTAGTTTATTAAAAATTGTTTATAGCTTAAAAACCTATTTACAAATTGTTTTTTTCGTTGTCGCCCGAAGTAGCTTGGTAGCTATGGCACGGGAGTTGACGCCCACCTTCGTATGAATCATTAATACCAGTTACTTTCACTTTTTATACAGACATGGATTGTATGTAGGTGAACGAGTAAGTGAGCGAACCCTTATCGTGAGTACACAGTTTTTTTTAAATTTATTTTTCAGTCCAGACAACAAAAGGTTTCACACAAAACACGAGATGCGCAACTACCTCGATCTGACAGCTGGCGAACTTAAGCCCTACGAGTATGCCTTGCTGGACTTCGGCGTGCATCTGAAGTTATCAAGGAGGATGGGCTGGGTCACCCACAGTGGAACGCGTGCAGCTCCCGTTTCGAACACTTCGCCGTTCTTCAAGAAGAAGCTTAGCATTAAAAAGGATATGAAGAATAAGAGATTGAAGATAAGAAAGCCGACTGTAAGTGTAATCTATACTAATATTGTAACTCTGAATACTTTGTTTGTCTGAATGCGCTAATCAGGAGGTACTGGCTCGAATTGAAAAAATATTTTGGTGTTGGTTGGACCATTTATCTTGAAAGGCTTTAAAACATCCAAAACCCTGAGAACGAAAGAATGATAAAAGGCCTCTTTAATTGATAAAAAAATGTCCGCAACAATATATGTCTATATTTTAAGAGTAATTCGCAAGAACGACAGGATGTGGGTGATGTCGTGGGCATTGGCTATAATTTGAGATTGGCTATGATTTTAGATGAGGAGGAAGAGGTTTGGAGTAACAAATTTTGTTTCCCAAAATAACTATTCCACGCGGACGAAGTCGCGGCCATCGCTAGTTTTTAATGAAAACATATTTTCAATATTATATGATTAATTAATTTGAATATTCTTTTAGTATATCATTCAAGGACTATCAGGAACAAGCGGCGAAGCTGATAATGACATACCAGTTTCTGAACCTCAAGACCCGCCAATAGAAGACGGTTACGGTAATTTTTTAAAGTCCTATTAGTTAGGTTCTACTACTACTGATGATTATAAAGTAGCATATTTTAATTCTACTACTACTATTCACAAAATTCTATTGTTTGACTATTTACAGTGTACGTCGGTTCCCTAAAAGTTCAAGTTATAGATAACTTACTGAGGTGTCCAGCTGAAGGATGCCTTAAAAACTTCAGAAATAACACACTCTTGAAGATGCACATAAAACACTATCACAGAGAGCTGAAGAAGATGCTGGGTGACACACCTAAAGTGTTAGACTTGGCATATGCAAGGCACAGACCGATATTAGGTAGCAAAGTTCGAAAGCCCAAAGAGAATAGAGTGCTCAAAGTAAAAATACCAAGGCTACCGAAGTCTCTGATCACACCGCAGCCTGAGGTAGTTAAGACAGAGATTCCAACGGAACCAGTGACTGTTCCTCCTGTAGTTCCAGAGGAACAACCCGCTGCAGAGTCGCCGAAGCTTCGCCAAGCATTAATACCAAAGCCAGTGAAGCGGCCAAAAGTTTTACTCCCTGTGCGTCGGACGAACCCTGAACCGCTTGTCGATGACGTTAAAGAAGAAATTGATACCCCCAAAATAACTCCACCCGTGGAAATTGTCGATTGCGTAGACTTTGAAGCCGCCATCTCCACCCACACGGTAACTAAGCCGGAGGACTACAGAAAGCTGAGTAAACCACCCAGGTCGGTCTACAGCGAAGACGAGGAGTGGCCCACGATGAACTCTGACTTTGAGACTCGGTCCAGTTTCCCTGGCTCGGGCACCCCGGACTCAAAGACGATGGACAAGCCCACGAACCCCGTCGCCTCCTCGGAGTCCAATGAAGAGGCGAAGGGGGGAGAAATGTATATGTTCACCGAGAGTACGTTTTTCTGTTTATATGTTGTATATTAACAAATGTGTATCGGTGTAATGATAAATAATTTATATTTCAGCCGGCGAACGCATAAAGATTGAGCGAATGAAACGCGAGGAAATCATCAACTGCCATTGTGGCTTCCGGGAGGAGGACGGGCTGATGGTGCAGTGCGAGCTGTGTCTGTGTTGGCAACACGCGCTCTGCCACAATATTCAGAGGGAATCCGAGGTACAGCTTCTAATGTCACTTCATGGCTTAGTTCTCTATGCGTTGTTATAAAGCACTCTCTGTAATTGACGTGAGTAGTTGTTATAAATGTTATAATTTTAACGCTTTAAAACGCGAAACGTGTAGTTACCTTTTTAATAATATATTTTCACTATGGCCCGACGTTCCAGATTCTGTCACGGTCACGGGCCTGAAGGTGGAGGGTGACCCTAATTTGTTGTAATATAACTGCCGATTTTATAGTAAGAAATAATACATCTTTGACACAAATCTGCTTCAATACAATATATACTATTATTATATTAGATAAAAATTTTAGCAAACATGATATCGAATATAGTATATAATATTAAAAGGGGCTCAAACGAAAAACTTAAATTTTTGTCTATAAAGCTCGTTTTTATGATTACATGTAGGAACTCGAAATAGCAAAGACAAGTTAAACCCTTAGTACGAGAACTAGATAGCTGCTTTATTTGTATAACACAATATCGGTCTCGCTTTCAGGTGCCGGAGAAATATACCTGCAGTATTTGTTTAAATCCAAAAGGCGGACGACGTTCGAAGCGCTTCTTGCACGATCAAGACAGACTATACGAGGGGCTCCTTCCTGGGGCGAAGCCCTGCGAGTTCCTGCGTAGGTCGCACGAGCTATCCGGCAATTTACTTCGAATACAGGACGCTTTGCACGCTATGAGAGTCAAGTACCACGTCGCTACGTGAGTGATAACTAAGTGGTATTTTGTTAATTATTAAGGATTTAATTTAAATAGTGGTTTACTGCCAAAAAATATATACACACGCCCGAATCAAATCCAAAACTGCGTATCGTGCCTTAGCTTTTCCTTGTGATTTCATTCCATATATAATGCTGCTGGAGGCAGAGTAGACTAACTGCAATTTTATGACTTGACTTATATTTTCATAGTATAAAAATGTCTACAAGATCACAGTAACCGAAAACTTTTGACATAACTCTTACACAAATAATAATACAAATTCATTTTCGTCCAAGTTAATTGCTCATTTTTATTTTTCTCGTTGAAAACCATGTTGTTTGTTGTTAGGCCACTCAGCCTCTAGCAGCCGCATATATGAGATTTGTGTAAATGTGTATGCGCGAAACAAAAGCTATTGTTGTTACTTCGGCAACTATTAATAAATAATATGTGGAATTAACTAAATTATCTGTTTTTAAATTACACTATCTTAGATTAACACCGCCACCTCTTTCCATTTTGACGTTACGTCATATGTCAAGTCTTTGGGATTCGCGGGAAATTAAAATTTTGTTCTCTCTTTTTCAGCAAGAAGAACCATCCGAAACTCTACCTCTGGGCGAAGGACTGGGAGAACGCAGAGCTAAATTTCGCCCAAGAGCGAATAAACTCGGACTATTCAGACCTTAACATAATCATCAACAACATTGGCAAAGAAAACCTCCCCGTGAAGCCGGCCCAAGACGGCGACGAGAGGGAGCCCTTGCTCAACTTGAGCGGGGTGCCTCTAGATTTCCCCATCACTACGTCCGAGCTGGAGCGAATGGCCAGGACGATGCAAGGTTAGATCTGCCTTGATCTTAAGCTAGTAGTTCATATTTAACGGTTAAAAAGCGAAATTTATTGACGTTTTTACTAAATACTGTTTGTGTGCCGTGGTCACAGTGGGACCCCTTGCATAAGGTGTGTAAATATGTATAGTGAAAATAAATTGTAAATAATAATTATAAAAAGCCAATTCAAAAACTAAAATATACTGCAGTTATAATCAATATGCTTCCAAAATATCCAGGTAAGATAAATCGATAAAAAAGAGACATATAAATGCGTCTGCTTTCTGATATAGCTTACAATGCGAATTCCTAATCCAGTTTCTATGCTCTGTGTGACCCAAACTATTTTGTCTTCCCGTGATTCGAATCCAGGACTTCTCGCGCTCAAATAGTCAAACAGTAAATAAAATAACTAATATATGTTGCGTTTTAAAGTGTTTTATTTAAACTTCTTATTTGTTCCATCCTTAACTGTTTATTATCATCTATTGTTATGTTGTAGGTTCCGATTTTAGAAGAAAAGGCAATTTTTCACATTAAGATCATAAGAATATATTCTTAATGGAAGAGTCTTCGTCTCTTTCAGAGCAAGAGAGCCGTGTGCTGGTGCCGCAGCCGGAAGCGGCGATCGAGAACAGCGCGTGTCGGGAGAGGCTGCTGCGGCACATACAGCGCTGCCAGGCAGTCATCGACGGGCGGCTGGACTCCATCGAGGCGCAGGTTGCCGGTGCGTTATTAATCCAAATTTAAAGTTTTAACCGTACAAAGGGGTAACAGAATAACATAGCGCGAAATCTTAACTAAATAGTATTATAACGGACTGACTCAGTAGCCACCATTTATTTATTTTTAGTCCAATAAGTTTCCAATAAATATAATAAAAACAGCCCTCATTTATACAGAACTGGAATCGCAAGATCCATCATTCGAAGATGACGAGACGGCGGATTACTGCCCACGAACGAAGCAGACAATTCAGATGCTCATGCGGGATCTCGAAACGATGGAGGAGTTGGGAGTCATTACTTGAATTGTACCATATATAATTGTAATATTAAGCGATAAAGATCTCTATGCCACTCTGTTCCAACGGAATTTGTAGAAAAAAATATATAACCCGGCCGAAGGGCTCCCACACATCGCATCGTATCACGGTACGACGTTGCATCGTGTAAATCTACGATGAGCATCCTAAAAAAACACGACATCGTAACGTGATGTGCCACGCTCGATACACGGCACGATGCCGACCTCTTTCCATGCTGTTGCTTTTGCATTTTTATTCTTGTATTCTTTAGATGTTTTGTCCCATAGTACGGAACGCTGCTCGACTAGGGTAATTAAATGATCGACTTCAACAGCATGCGTCATCTTTGAATTTCGCAGGATTGCATCGTGAGTTTGTAACGTCCCGGCGTCGCATTGTTGTACGTTGCGTCATCGTAACGTGTTTGTGTTTGAGCCCTAATTAGTACTAAAAATTCAACTACACATTTTTTAAATTATTTCAAGATTTCAATAGCTTTACCTATAAAAATAATGTGTTGGCGCAAATTATTGATTTGTATAGAAATTTTGAAAAATCAATACATTATATTAACAAAAAAATTTAAAAACTAAATTCCAGTTTAAATTAAAATACTTGACTACACTGATATTATTAAAAATAGTTGCTAAGAGAATACCTTAATGACTAAAATTGATTAGTTCTTGTTTATTTTTAAGTTGTACAAAAAATGTTTGGAAATTCTGATGTTGAAAATTTTATAAAAATCAATTTGTTAGTTATAGCGATGTCTCGGTGATTAAATACCAAAACGTATGAACTCAAAACTTTACCTCTTCTACAAATTCATTTGAAATGGGATACACAATGTATGTAAATAAGCAAAGTACCAATAAAGAAAGTTAAAACATGTGCTTCTCTTTCTTAACAAAACCTGCCTCAAATCTAAGTTTAGACCGTCGTAAGCACAACCAGGATCCGCCAAGCGCCCGGTTTAAAGGCTTTTTGTATTTACTTCTCTAAAAATATTTGTTCTGTTCATTTTAAAGTACTCTACTAAGTTGACTTCTAAGCTAACACTTAAAATTATTGGAGATTCGAATCATTCATGCAATCTTTAATAGTAAATTAAAATATGGAGTATCAAGCCATACAATTTTTTTTTCATATTTAAAACAAAAAAACCATAATATATTAAAAATTAATATATTGCAATACCATTAACCCTCATAAAATTTGGGTAGCTGGTCGCCAAGGACCACTGATCTCTCAACACCACTCTCCGAAATAACACCGAGACGAACTACACCACCAGAAGAGCCGTCGCGTAGCATAGCCAAAGTGAGAGTGTTGGTGACAAACTTGACTGCCTCCTCTTTACTCATTTTTGGCTTGAAGTTAGCATCGACATAGCCATAGACATATGACGATCCGGAGCCGCCGATCGACACTGCCTGTCTTTGAACCATGCCCCCCAATGGGGACTGAGTAAATTTGACCTGAAAAATTAAATTATAAAATAAATGAGTGAGAAGAGTTGAGAGAATAAAAACAATTTAATATAGGTATCGACAAATCATAATTTCTGTATATCTGCCTGTCTGTTAGTCTTTCACACCAAAACTACTGAACGTATTTGAATGAAATTTGGTATACAGATGGTCTAGACCCTGAGAAAGGACATAGGCTGTTTATTGTTAAAAAAGGGGTTGTGAGGGGTTAAAAGGGCGTAGCTTTTTGAAGGTAAAATAATAAAACTTTCTTCTTTGGCTTTTTGGAAATAGGAGTGGGAGTTAGGGCAGGAGTGATGTGAAGTGAGAGTGTTGCGGCGATATAGCACTTCCAACATAGATTGGCTGGCTTAAGTGCACTCTTAAATAAATTAATAAAGTAAGAAGTCACTATTCCACGCGGACAAAGTCGCGGGCACAGCTAGTAAAGAAATAAGTATTTAAGGCTATTAATTTAAATATGAATTTGATATGAAGTACTGTGTCTATTTTATGCAGGAAGTAAACATTTAAGAGCCGCCTCTTTAGCCAAATGGTTAAACGTATTGCTTAGCATTGCGTTATGCGCGAGCGGTCCTGGGTTCGAATCTCAGGGGAACAAAAAATTTTTGTTCCAGTTGGGTAGGGCTCAGAAGTTTGATCAACTACTTGCCTGGTAAAAAAACGGATCAGTGAAACGGGAACAAAAAGTGTTTGCCCTACAAAGGGGAAACAGGATTTCACACACACACATTTAAGGAAATACTTTAAATGAAATTGAATGCCAAATGTTAATTACAAAGTTAACTTATTTACAATATATATTAACTACAAACTTGTAACAACTTGTTGATTGGGCTTTACATCAATATCATATATATATATACAGAGAATCGAATTTTGATGTGAGGTAGGATGGGGAGGATGGGGAGGGGGTAGCTCTCCTCTTCATGGTTTATTTTATGTGAATTTTATAGTGGTATAAGAATAAAGGGCGACGACAGATTTTCCTTTGCATACAAAATAATAAATAGACCTAAACTGACCTCCTTTATTTTTGTCCCATCCAGCGACAAGGATACCCGCAACAAGCGAATCTCGGTAATTATAACAAAGTTCTCTAAAGATTGCTGCTGCTGTTTGAACTAGCGGAGGCTCACCCAACTCCATCTTGTGAAAGTCTGAAATTGCAAATAGTGGTTTATATGGGTTATGTATTATGAACAAAGCTATGTGTAGCAGTTCACAATAAATACAGTTAGGGCTGCCATCTGTTTGGGCCCAGATTTGTGATACTTTAGGAGACGTCCGAGGTAAGGTTTAGATAGTAGTCTAATCAGACTCATAATCTATGTAAATAAAACCTATGGATTTGGTATTGCAGCGCATGCGCTATGCTATTATACTAAGCGGCGTGCGGAAAGGTAACACTGTTACTAAAAATTTTCTGTTTAAACAATTTCAGGTAGGGTTTGGGTTAGGCTTTGATGAAAAAGTGTGTGAGTCCTGTAATAATATACGAAGAGTATTGTTGAAATTTTATGAAGTGTAGATATTTTCTATCGTAAATTCTATGAAATTGAAAGATTGTAACTTGCTTTCTGTTCTTTAGTTCATATTTATATTCAATAAAAGTTACCAAAATGCTGAAATTAATAACATAGGGTTTCATCCTGTCTAGTCTATTACAAAATTTAAAACCATTTTAAAATTATTTACAATTTTAACATACATAGTTTTTCTGTTAATTCAAATTACTGATACAGGTCTATAAAAACAACAAATTGTGTTTTCCTAAAGGATTTTGCAAAAAAAAGTTTGTTATAACTTTAAAAAACATTTTGGATATGTTGTTAAAAATATTATACGAATAAATAAAATATTATAAGTAATATTGGGCACAAATAAATACAATTTAATTTAATTAAGGACAAATTATTATTTTTTCTTCTCTTCTTTAATATAAAGAAATAAATATGTAATACTTGAATTTGAAGTAATGTAGTTTACAGAGTAGTACACATTTAAATAAAACTTTCAACGGTTTAAAATGAAAAATGTATTAGTTCACTCATTTCCAATTTATTTTAACTATAAAAGCTATTATAAGTTACTTAACTAATACATTTTTTGAAGTCATTTTTGTAAGTGAGTTATAAATATTATCTTATTTTATTCAATATCTATGGTTAAAATAAAAAGACATTAAAAATTAAATACTGTCTATAGTTTACGCGAGTAGTACACATTTAAATAAAACACTTTAACGGTTTAAAACGCGATATATTAGTTAAACTTATTTGAAAATGATTTTTAACTTCGGCCCGACGTTTCGGACAACATTAAAACTTTAAAAATTTACATTTCTTTCTAGTTTCACGTAAAATATATTTTATCAAAAAATAATAGTTTTGAAATGTGTGGGGTAAAAGATTGAGGGAGTTCCGGTCCTTGGGAGGCAGGTTATATACATAGCAGCTACAGTTGTCAAGTTAATGCCTTAAAGAGTTGATGTTATTGCCAATACCTCTATTAAAGATCTACAGAACTACTACTAATTATGCTACTTACTGAGGTGGTATGTGACAATATCCGCAATCGCCTGCGTATCAGCAGCAGACCCAGAACGACAGCAGTAAATGTGATCAGATATCTTAGTCAATTTATCTGTCACTCTGTTAGCGATGTAGGCACCAGTCGTAGTACGTGAATCGGCTCCGATCACAACACCGCCATCGAACTCACAGGCCATGATGGATGTACCCGTACTGTGTGGCGCATTCATCCAGCTCATGCTGGGATCGGTGTAAGTGTCTACTACCGATGTGGCCATGTTTATCTGAAGAAATAAAACGATTTTTCAATGAAGATACATTTTTTCAAATAAACAGGAAATGTTGGATCGTTAGCTTACTTAAAGCAGGTTCTGGAGAATAAAGGTAAAATGTCATGAACTACGCTATACTTTAGGAAATATTTGTACTTACACAATATCAAAACGAAATATAACAATTCTTTTAAAACTTGAAAGTCACGAAAGCGGCTAAACTTGCAAATAATTCTGTTCACAGATCTACATTATAGCGTTCAATTGCCAATTGTCAAACATAGATTGTCAAGGACTTTGTGTCAATGTCAAGTATGTTGAGAACAAGACAGATTATATACTGATTCTGTATGTTACTATATTTGTGACAGGCAATGTTATCTTAAATAAACAATTTAAATCTCTATGGGTATTTATTAAAAATAATAATTATAAAATCATTGGATATTTTAAATGCGCCTAAACTCGTATACTTGAGTAAAAAAGTTTGTATTTCTCAAACATTTTTCTCTAGGGTTCTTGAAAGAATTATTTGAGTATTTTTAAGTAGACTTTCGTGGCGTGATGATCTTTAATGGTTGAGACTTATATTGGCTATAGCTTAAAATCACATCAGATCATATTGCTCATAGCTAACTTCTAAAATATTTGTTGGTGTTACCAATACAGATATTCTTTATTGTCACAAAAAAATAAGGACAAACGTCAACTTTATATTTAAATAGCCATCTCTTCCAACGACCATGGTGGAAATCAAAGTTCAGAAATAAAAGAAGAATGCGTGCCAGCAGAAAAGAAACTTAACCTACTTACTTAAACTTATAATAAACAATTATATTTTTTATCTCTTTAGTTTAAGAGCTACGCTGCGAAAACGGTTCAAGACACCCAAAAAAAAGAATGATCCCTCTTTAAATGATCTAAAAAAATGTCTCCGATACAATATATCTATCTTTAAGATTAACTTGCAAGACAGACGGTACCCGAACGACGCGTGCGACGATGTCGTGGGCAGCTTAAATTTATAAAGATGTAGAGGTTTGCAAAAACAAATTTGGATGTCCAAAACAACTATTCTACGCGGACTAAGTCGCTGAAACAGCTAGTTAGAAATAAGTAGTGGGACTTGACAAGATTCTTGAAAGGATGAACTATAGAATCTAGTTTAGTGGGAAGGAAATGTGTTATATATTTTTGGTAAAGATTGTTTTTTAGATATCATGATATCATAAAACTTACGGCGAGGACCTATTCTTCGAGATTTTACCTTTTTATGCACGCATTGTCCAAGTTCTATAACGAAATAGCAATATCATCGTAGCGTGGGTGTCCTCCACTCATTAGTACTCTTTGTCACGCTAAAATGATTCGCACAAAGGACTTTCAAAATTCGGTACGCACCATTTTGTACGTCATCTCGAAAACGATGTTTATTTAAACGATATAAAAGACGGGTACGAACGAATAGAAGTTTTTGATAAATCACTTTTTTATTCGACACATTTATTCAAAAGGAATATCGGATATATTTATTCATGAACTCCGATTCGCCACCGTTGTTCAAAAACGATAGGACACGCGTCTTAGAAATACTGTTTGTACCGAATGTGGACTGATTTTGATAGTTGCAATATATGAAATAGGCAAACTTTTATATAGTGACCACAATAAATTAATTTCTTTTATTTATTTATTCATATTAAAAATAGATCTAGAGATGTTGCATATACCTATAGAAAACAATGTGTTAATAGAAAAGTGCGTATCTATTTTAGGGTCGATAGCCCGGTACCTATTTCGTATCGATTCTCGAAACATTATCTATTTAAACTAATAACGACGTTGTATTATTTTAAGTATTTACCTTAACTTGGAACAATCTATCATAATAGGCGCCAACGAGCAAATGTTTGGTCACTTATCGTGCGTTTTGTTAGCGATGTCTGGATCGAAATTTACATAAATAATGAGAACATTATCTCTGTGTTTTATGTTCTAATAATAATTGGGTCGTTACTATTGAGTCACGTACGCGAAGAAGTTTTGTTTACTTACATATTCTATTCCATCGATGCTAGATCGTTTTGGGCTGGACTGAATCAAGGGCGGATCCAGCTCCGACACCAAGAACTTTTAATTTAATTCAGATAGTAATAGATACAAGTAATAAGTAGGTATTTTAATAATGTACTGTACTTCAAAATATTATTTCTTAATTGTACATTTTAAGAATTTAACATAATAATCTGTAAATAAAATAGATATGGCCCCATTATCCCCCCTGAATCCGCCTTGGACTTAACCCCAGAATGTGTCGTATACATATAATATTATACATGACTGACACATCTCAAGTGAGCACACAAGTACGTTCTTTTAAGACTAGGTATGCTTTATAATAATTATATTTCCAACTCTTAAATTAGTTTCTCTCTTACTTGCTGTGTATTTTTTATGATGTACCTTTGCTTTTTGTTTTTTTATTTATTTTCTCCTGGTTGCCTGGAAGAGCAAATAAATAAAATACGTTGAATATAAGCTGAATCGAAGTTTCTGAAAAGTATCAAAAATGGCTTATATTCGTTTCAGATGGTAGACCGGTACCCATAAGTAGGCGTATTATTGAGCTCGCCATCCCCGACCTATGGAAGTGGCTGTCAATCGCTTGAATAATGACGCGTGCGGTGGCGACATTTTGTTATTTATTTATTTTATTTTATAGCGACTCCCCCGCGAGAACGAGACAATGGCCAGATGTTGATATTTTTTCTAAATTACAATGTATTTTCCGTTCAAAAACGCATTGTGATGGAGATGCGTTCCGTTGTGCATTCAGTGGTCCCTTATTGATAACGCGTTACACCGTCCTTAGATTCACCATTTTTTTATGATAGGATAAGCATAGGATTCTCTTGATGGTAGGCTAAACACCCCATAGGTATAATATTTAAACAAGATGCGTTATCGACCTATATTGGCTTTGGGTATTCGGAAATCCGCCGACTAAAACCGAAACGCGATTAGACTTGACAGCTTCTTCATCTGGTGGTTCGTTACCCGGACGGAATTTCGATGTTCCTACCACCCATTTAATATCGAGATTTCCAGAGAAACTCCACCATGTCCCTGAAAAATTAACAACTGATTAGAATCATGTTGGACCTGGTAGGGATCTTGACGACCCGTTGATTAATAGCCATACATTGCTCAACACAAATTACACATTACACAACCTAGACCGTCAAAATTTGTCATACTAAAACAATCGTATTTTAATATGTACTCTATATTACGAAATATACAGTCTTTCTTTATTTTTGTTGCAGGAAAATAAATCATCAGACAATAAGTACAAGGCTTTTCTCTTTTATCGTTAATTTGTTTTTCTTTTCTGTATACAAAGGTTGCCTGGAAGAACACGCAATAGGACATACGGCCGTCTACCACTAACTCCTTAATGTAAATAATTAATTGATTATTATTATTTTATTTGTTTGTGCAATAAAGTGTTTAATTATTATAACCAATTCAGTCTCAAGTAGGGGTTTGGTTTATAAATGTTTAAAAATGTGTCTAAAGTTTACATAAGCCATCGTTATCACTCACTGTTTCTTAAGTTGTTCAATCTTTGTTTATCTTAATTAGACATATAACATTGACAGATTTGTAGAGATCGAATTAACAAACTTCGAAAACGACCCGACGTAAAAAGTAGTTCCCTAATATTAATTACAACTAAATTATTTAATATACGTTATAATTTATAAGGCATTTTTACCCACATCCATTTGAGCTAAGAAAATAAAACGATCACGGCAAATATTTCCCAGGCTTATTCCAAGATGGCTGCCTGCCAAACCAATACGAACTTTTATAACTTTTCACTTATTAAAACCTTATTGGAGATGAAACCAAATTCTTTTGAGTATATGTCGATAGCAGACATATTTCTGTAACTATATACTGAATGAATTTATATGCAAGCAAATATTTATCTGTAGGGCCTCTTAATATGTAAGAAATAAACTTTATTGTATAACTATTTCATCGGTATATTTAAGTACACAGCCTACATTTAGTTTATTTATTTATAGTTCATTATTTTTATTAGATTATACATTATATATCTATGTATTGTCTTTAGCTTTCGCGAATGTACTACTTATTTTTAACTTCAGCCCGATGTGGATGCTTTCACTTAACGTGGTCACGGGGACACTGAAAACAGAATGTAATTTGACGTTTAAAATGTTAGAAATCATTTTAAAATAAGTTTAACTAATATATCGCGTTTTAAACCGTTAAAGTGTTTTATTTAAATGTTAAAAATCTTTTATTTTAAAGTTCGCGTAAACTACAGACGTCTTTGAGTAAGTACAATCGTGTTATATGTTAGTATTTGATTATACCATCTGTTGCCCACGTCCAGAATCAAATAAACCTTACTACGAGCCACCATTCACAATTTTTTGTCAACCTTTATATAAATTTGATACGACAGTCAGGGAAGCACGCGCCAACGATTGCTTTTTTCTGAGAGGTGGGACTGAGGGGATGAGGCGACGCGGGTGAGTCGTGGCTCGTGGGGGAGGCCAGCCCCTAAAAAGTTATGTATTTTTTCTCCTCTTTTTTCCCATCGACGTGATGAAACGACCTCCGATATTGATCCAGACAGCGGGCCAGTGATCTTGGAGAATTCCTCTCGATAACTGAGTATTATTACTTAATTTAATTGCAAGGCGTTTTGGTTATATGCAACTACGTAATATTACTCTACTAACTGAAAAAGAACTAAATTAGTATTGTCTGTATTTAGGCGAGTAGTACACATTTAAATAAAACACATTTAACGGTTTAAAACGCGGGGAACGTGACCGTAGCTGCTGCAAATTAGCCGAAACGTCGGGCGGTAGTTAAAATAAATTGTAATTCGCGTTTTAAACCGTTAAAAGTACTATCACGATATCGTCCAAAATTGTTTGGAAGGCAAATTAAAAACTTCTAAATAGCCATTATGAATTTTTTGTTTCGAGATCACTGTGACGTCAAAGAAATTAAATTATAAGAAAACCTATAATTGAATTTCTTGTCTCAGCTCTTACTTCCCTATTCATATAAAAACATTAAAATTTTTAAAATAATTACTAACGTATAGATGTAAAAAGTGTTTATTACTTCATATAAGTACACATGATTAGTAAGAAAATAAGTTTATATTAACTAAAATATGTACATCCGTAAACTTTTGTTTTTGAGTTGAACCAAGTCCATGCACATGAGAGGTTTAAAGACATATAAGTTGTAGGGTTTGATTGCCGCCAGGGTAATCGATTTTGCAATTTACGGTTGATCATATTTTATCCTAAATAATATTGAATTTATTTACGGAAATGTCTAGCTAAGGACGAACGAGAAAGGGCCGTTGAATATTTTTTATTTATCATTAACTAAAACGGAGAACAATTATTATCTAAATACAGAAATTGTCTTTGCATTTTATGTAGTCTGTATTTTTTTAATATTGTTAGGTAGAATGTACACCTATACGTGAATTTAGAAGATAAGTAACGCAAAGGAGTGTAAAAACTCTCGATTTAGTCTTAATTTCTCAACGGTACCTACACAATTTCTATACATCTGGGATGTATTTAAATAGAACACTTTTATCGGTTTAAAATGCGAAGTATATAATATAACTCATTTTTAATGTTTTTAACGTTTGAACCTGGCCATACTTAAATAAAACATAGGTTAACTAATATATTTCGTGTTTTAAACCGTCAAAAATGTTTCATCTAAATGATTACTACTCGTATAAACTACCGCATCTTAGTTGTATCAACTATATTATATTGAATATCTTTTTTGGTTTGCCAATAAAGTTCAGTGTTACAATTCTTATAAATGTTGGGCTTAGAACAGATTTGGTGAGGATTTTTTTCGGGCAGGTGTGTGCTGTTATGGCCCGGCGCGCGACGTCCATCCTTTATGTTATTATGTCCATAGGACAAGCTGTTCAGCACCCATCATGCACATTGTATGATATACAGGGGGATCAAACATACTCCTCCTATATTGTGTCTCCTAAACTGTAGTGTGGCGTCAAAATAACTTTATAAAATGTCAATGTTATTGCAAAGATTTATGGATTATTAAAAAAAGGAATCGGCAAGAGTATTGTCGATTGAGAAATTAAATGACAAAGGCTGGACTCGAACCTGTGAAACATGTTGTATCAGTTGACGTATGGATATTTCATTACTATAAATTATCAATAGTTTTAAAAAAATATGAAAATTTATAGCAGCGCTATTCGAGGACATCCTGTAGACGATTTGCAAAGGAGCGATTTTAACTTTTTCGACGGACTATTCTAAGCACTTTGGGGTCACTTTTTGGGGATTATTTTGTATTGTGTAAGTGGAAAAAAGGCACAAAGCCCTGTTGACTGACCGAGTAGTTTTGTACAAAATAACGGTTTGTCTCGCTGCACATATTGAGGGATAGGTTACGTCTTAATTTTAGCCCCGTTGATAACAATCTTTACGGAGATATCTTGGCATTTGATGGTCTGTGAAATTACTGTTTAGTTTACAATTGGCTCGTGGTAGATGTTAGATATGAGAAATGTGCATAGCTGATGTTCAATAAATCAGCGAAGATCTCGTTTCAAGGTCGTCGAAGATCTAGTTTAATATTGTCTATAGTTTACGCGAGTAGTACACATTTAAATAAACAGAACAACAAAAAACAACACAAAATTTTGCGGAGGTAGATTAGTGTTTTTTCACGGCAGTTTTATTTGTCCGATTCGAATCTTGAACCTCTTCAGTTAAGTGACTAACCACTAAAGTAACTGTTATATTTAAATTGAAAAGTCGGAAATA